GAACCAACCTAGGATGTATTATGACAGTATCCACTCATACTGGACGCATCGCACGGAGCCAACGACGTGGAGTTGCCGATATTTTTGGAGCTTGTCATGAAACGTTCTCTCAATGCTAAATAATCTCGACTCGGACCATACATACTATGTACCTGGAAACTGGATGCAAACAAAATGAGGCAGGCTTGGCTTGCTTGTGAACAGTCCCTTTACTTTTCTCTCTTTTTTGTTTCACTTTTTCCTTTTTCTCTACGGAGTGAGAAAAAAGTTAGTATAACCTCAGCCACACCCAGACAGGAGGACGTGCGCACAGGGCTGGCAATCCCCGCAGGATCTTAGATGCAGGGCAGCCTGAAGATTTGTCTGAGCCTCACTGGATTGTCGAAGCCTAGACCATGGCGAGTGCCTGCGAGTGCCTGCGAGAGCCTGAGAGATCTGCAAGGCAGCTAACCACATATCCAACCATGTCGCCGCTGAAGTCGGAATGTGGGGGATGTGCAGTACGGAGTACGGAGCAAGCCTAACAACTCGAGGGTTCAACCGGTGGCATCCCATCCGATCCGTGCAGGCCCGTTTAGGACGGTCGCTTGGTCACAGATTGATTAACAGCCCGGTCCGTGCTTGGGAAGTATCTTTCGTTCGGGAAGAAAATTTTGGGCAATCAGGAGTTGGTTATACCGGCCTGGCCTGTCCTGTCCCGATAGCTTGGTACGAGGCTCGCCCCTGCATACCATGGCAGCACTTGTCAACAAAGGCCATTGCGTCGCGCAGCTGCCTCTGTTTTCCCTCCCTCTGGTGTGCTGTTGGGCATGGAACGAGCCTACGGAACTTGCAGGTGAGAGAAGGAACAGTTCTCCACACTCAATATGAACCGTGGCGCCTTTTCCCAAAGCGTTGACGGTGAGCCTCGACAGCGCCGTCACCAGAATGCCAGATTGCTTCCGGGGGCCCGTCGAGGTGTTCATGTCAGTACTCCGTACCAGACGGTTCACTGTGGGTGGACGTATGGTGCTCACAATCTGCAGTCCTGCACCTTTCATTTGCCTTGCCCGTTAAAGTGGGCTGACGGGGATTCGTTGGGGAGGCTGAAAGACGAAGCAGCACCATTCTTGCAGAGGGCTCTTATCGACAGTTCAGGATTCATGTGTCTCGGCGCTCGTTGGCTCTGGTGCCAGAAACTGCTGGCAAAAGTCACAAGCAAAGAAAACAGTCGGCAGTTGGGAGTAATCCGACCGCCGCCAACAAGTTTACAGCAGTCCGGACGATTGTGCGACCTCTCAGACATGTGGACATGTCAACGACGGCTGCCGATTCGCGGGAGTCGAAAAAGGCTTGTCCAAATAAAGCAAAATCAAGCGCCCAGACAAGAGGTTGGGCAATGCGCTAGTCTCATCGCTTTGACAGCCGTTCATAACCCTGATGCCACTCATCACTCAGCCCATGGCATTGGATCACTGCGGGGATCGATTCAGAATTCAGGCTGCTAGTTGGTCAAGAGTGAAGGCCCAGAGCAAGGTGAGCAACGTTGCCCATGCCGGGGCGCGCGAACGAACCTCCCCACCTTCGGCTTGGGCCTCGAACTCGAGTGACACGGAGCCACCCAGATGGGCATCGCGTAAGGAAAGACAGACGTCAAAGGTCGGATGCCCAAAACACCTTACGGCTCGCCGACGGACGTCTCAGCAGACCAGTCACGAGGCCTATCCTGTGCGTTCCCACTCGTAAGCACCTCCTCGCAGAAGGCCCATGGATTCAAACGGAGGATCGTTACGGCTCGCCCGCTCTTGTCAAGGCCCTTGGCAAGGAGGACACCCCCCCGGCGGCCACGTGTGTGATGGAACTACCAAGTGCTCGTGGAGAGCTCCACGCGTCTCCGAAAAGTCTCGATGATCACGCCAACCTGCCAGAAGCAACCCGGGACCAGTCTAATTGAAATTGGCATCATTTTGAACAAGGCGTCCATGAGGCCAGCATCAGCCCACTCATTACCGACAAATCCTTCCGCAACAATAGGACAGCGGTGGTATACCCCAGCCCACCTGACAGCCCTGAAGGCTGAGAAGAGGCTGAATTGCCCGCGGCACGGCACTTGCCAACCTGTGGCTTCTCGCCTGTTCTGGCGAACACTGACCCATAGAGAGGATATAATTATACCCAAGACATATTCATCAAAGTAGGTGGCGGCGATGATGACAAGATGCTCACGCAGCAAACTCCGCTTCGAAGCGGCCGCCCGTTGGCGCCGATGAAGAGTTGCCGTCTTGGGACTTTGACCTTGCAGGCTTGGTCAGTCCAAATTTGTCACTTGTCATTTTTTAAAACATCTTTACAGAGTGGAAACTGGCCGTCAGGGGAGTTGCGAGCGTGGGTGTGTGCGTTGTATGTATGTCTGCATGCATGCATGTACTACATGCGTACAATGACCTAGCAACCATCCAACAAGGGAATTGAAGGCAGGGGACGACTTCAGTGTGGAGGGAGGCGACAGGAGATCGCGCCCGAAAAACATCGGCTACAATGGCACAGCACAGCTCCAGCCTACAGCACACAGCCTACAGCTTGTCCTTGGCTCACGATTCGTTGAAACATGATTGTATCTGCTCGACATGTATAAGTGTCGGGGCTCAGAGGTGAACATGAATTCGCCGGTGCAAGCAGCGTCAACCATGTTTGCCATTGTTCAACCACGCACCTGCATCACGACGACGTACGTACGACTGTCCTCGGTAATCGAAAGCAATCGTGGAGTGGACCAGTCGTGTGCAAGCCAAAGAAAAAAAGGAATGGGAAAGAAAAAGAAAGAGACGTGCGGATGATACCACGGACCAAGGAGCGGATCGAAATTGGACTTGTTGCGAGCTTTGAACTCTGTTGCACGCATGACCAAAGGAAGTGTTTATCCAGAAATGGCGACGTGCAGGCTCAGCGTGTCAGCGCAGTCCGTCTGATTCGCCTGGCACAATGTGTGTGCGCTACTACTCCCTCCGTACATTTGAGAGGGCTGGGCGTCGTCGTATCCGAGCAACATGTCTCCCGGCATTGAAGTAGCGCCATTGTGGCGGCTAGTGGAGACCTGGGCATACTTAAGTAGGCTGTATCTTTCATCTACTCAAGTACGGAGTACTCATCACTGTCGTGCGTTTTCAGGTCATGTAAGGTGCAGCTGCAGGTGCAGGTGCAGGCTTGGGGGCTCAATGATTCTCAGGAGGTGGTCATACTTACTGTGTGATGCAAGCGAACGGTCGCCCCCTCAACGAGTCGAGATGACAGTAGGATGGGGATGGCAGGACCTTGGTTCTTATCAGTCTGTCGAGGGCACAGACACCTCGTCGTACGAGATTCGAACGCACCGTGTAGACACCTTCCTCTTCGTATATACCACGGTTGCGCGGAGTAGCTTCATTGTCGGCTCGGCTTTTGACCACAGCAGTCAAGATTTTTGGCAGACCTGACCTCGACGTCCTTCTGACTGTACCGGACAGCAGCTAGTCAAGGACAATGTGACTCCGTACAGAGTAAGCACCGTCTTGTTTCTCCGCAAACAGGCGTTCCTGCAGGTGCGCGACCATGGAGCAACGTCCTACTCCGTACCGCAGAATGCAATGCAGACCTTCTGCATCTTTTCGGTGACCGTTTCCTGCCCACGAGCCATGTTGGCTGCCAGTCGGGCTGTTTTCGCAGGCAGCACAAACTCTGCGAGCTGGGAGGGGAGCGCCACTCTGTGGACGCCGAGCTGCTCCGATGGAAACCAAAGGGTCAAGATCCGTCCCGTTTCTAGAGGGAACATGGGATACTCGGTACAGTGAATGTAAATCCTATTTTTGCTGCAACGAAACCTCAACTTTGGTCGATTGTCATGTTGTCGTTGGCACATGGAAAGACCACCAGACTCCCCCCCTCCCCGGTTCGGAGCAAAGGGAGCGCGCGACCAACCGGCACAGTCAAACATGTGAGCAATATCAGGGCCTGGTAACTAACTATGCCACGTTCCGAGGATCCCTCGCAATAGTATTCGTCCCCTGTCGCCCGCATCCAGGACGAGTTGTGTGGGCAGAGTCGGGACTCGGAACCACAGTCGCAGCCCGTCGTATCACAACTGTCTGTGACTGGCTCGGCAACAAAGGGGTCAACAGACAGACCAAAGAATGAAGTTGGGGACTTGTTAGAAACCGGGGCAATATAGGTCAAGCTCGACTCTTGAGTCAAACATCGTCTCCAGCTGTACGTATAAACCTGATCCGAATGCTGGGCATCTTTCAACGACGCGGTAGCGCTAATGGCTGAAAAGAAAAAGGAAGAAGCAAATCCGCATCGACGAGGTCGAATAAGGCTCAGACACAGTACGAACTGTTGTCATATCATGTGCGACACCGAATCAAGGGACCCTTTAAGGGTTTTTCAATCGCCTCCCTCCCCCGGGCGATTATCGCGACGCGAGTGCGACCGAAGACTTCACTGTGAAAGGCTTGCGCGACGTGTCGTGAAAGTCAGAGAAGGGATGGGTTTTTAAGATGAGACTCCCCCCCCCCCCAGGTGTGACGGCACTGTGAGACTGCGCCGGAAATGATCTGCATCCGAAGCGATTGATCTGGCTCAGAAGCAAGGCAGATGAACTCTGCCGGGCGAATTTTCGGCGAACGGTTCGCAGCTCTGAGACCTTTTTTGTGGACTTTTTCGGGATCTCTCGCAACTGGTCTGGCGCCTTGTTTCGTGTCAATCACGACTCAGGACTCAGGAAGGCAACCTTAAACCGACAAAGGGCATTGCTTCTAGTACGTAGTATGCGAAATGCTGGCGGGAATGCCGCGTCCCTGACTAGTTGAAGCTTAAATCCTTCTGGTGGTATGCCCGCTCAACGATTCCGCCCTCGCTTTGGCCGGATGTCATCGCAGGGGCGGGCATCATCAAATGACCTGTTTTACCGGCCAAGACATACACAGCACTTTTGTCGAGCCGCCAGGTCTGTTGCTTCTCTATCACACCTCTGTGCTCGTTTATTTTTATTGCACCAAGGCATTCATAATCTCAATCGTCACGCTCCCCTTGTCCCGTCCAACGACCCGGACCGACTCCAGATCCTGAACTACCCAGTCCGGCCCTGCGGCAAGAACCTGCTCGACAGTGTGGCTCGTCGTCAATCCAATGACCCTGCACCCGGCTGCCTTGCCGGCCTTGATACCTGCGGGAGAATCCTCCAAGACGAGGACTCGCCCAGGCCGGCGCTGGAGGCCCAGCTTCTCCAGGCTCATGCGGTAGCACGTGGGGTCCGGCTTGCCCTTCTCAACAGACTCGGCGGTGACGAGGTGCTCCGGAATGGCGAGCTCGAGACGCTTCAACCAACCCAGCACGAGGGGCTCCGTGCCAGAGGTGACGATTGCCCACGGCGCCGACTGGGCGATGAGCGCGTCCAAGAGGCTTCTTGCGCCTGGGATTTCGGAGGCGAGGTCGCCGTATAAAACGGGCAGTCGTCCTTCCACCTCCCTCACGTCTGCGGCGTGTCAGTGTCTCTTACTACATTGCGTCGTCGAGGCCCAGGCGAGTAAAATCACGGCAGGACGGCGAGGCGTGAGAGGAGGGGGATGCCTACAATCCCACGTAGCTTTATGCGGAGCCATCATGTTCAACGTGTCAATGCTCCTTCGACCATGGGACGTCTTCAGAATCTCTTCTGGATCGAGCCCGAGCTCGGTGCCAGTTCTATAAAAGGTTAGTTAGGGCCCCTTTGCGACGTGCGCCCGCCTTTTGCGAGTCGGGTGAGTTGGCGGGGAAAGCGGCTGAGGGGAGAGAGCTAACGTGTGCCAATGCTTGACAATTGCTTCCGTTGAGTCTATCAGCGTGCCGTCCATGTCGAAGAGAAACCCGTCGAAGGAGGCCTGCTGAGGCGGTTGGGCGTAGCCGTGTTGCGAGCCCATTGTCGATGCTCGATGCTGTAGTTGGTTGTAACTTGTAACCGGGTTGAGCGGGAAGGGGGGACACGTACCGAGCGCCTTGACGGTGTATAAAGAAGCGCTTTCACATCGTGGCCCTAAGCGTCCTAAATCTGTTCCAGGGGTCAAAGTCGGGGGGATTCGAAGCGAAGCCATGATGTTCCCCGGGGCGACACCGCTCACCGTCGCGGACCGTGCTCAAGACCGGAGTCCCCACTCGGAAGGTCCGCCTGCGGGACTTCCGCTCGGGGTTAGGCTCCGCCTCGTCTCTGGGCTACCCTGCACTGGAGATGAGATCGTCCGATGAATGTGTCGGCAAGAAAAAGAATCCACCCCCTCCTTCCCCAGTTGGGCATGGAATTACCCCACGTCTACGGAGTACGCACCAACTCGAACCTGGTTATCAAACATGACTTCACCATGGTGATGTGAATCTTGCAACTCTGGTGCTTTTTCTCGGACGATAATTTGAAGTACCAATACCACCCTCGGCAGCGTAATACGCAGCGCCGCTCGACCTCGTCGCCGGACACAGCGTTTTCCCTCAGCCGTCAGAAGCCACATCCCGGCATCCGTCGGCTCATCTCGCGGGCGGCAAACAACGACGGAGTCACAGACAGCTCACTGCACGATCCTCGACCCAAGGCCGTCTGTCGACCGACGATGGGCTCACAAAGTAAAGACCAAAACGAACTGACGGTTCTCGTCACCGCATTCGGCGTACGTAGCACTACCGCCCCCCTGTCCCCGTTGCCGTTGAAAACAACAACAACCACCGCCACCACCACCACCACCACCACCACACGCCGAAAGGGGGAAGCTGACCACACGAGCAGGCCTTCCGGGAGCAATATCCCGTCAACCCGTCGTGGGAGATTGCCAAGGGCATCCCGCCTCACCTCACACCGCTGGGAGCCAAGGACGGCGGCGGCGGCGGCTCCCGCGACCCCCCGCCGCGCGTCCGCATCCTCGTGCACCCCGAGCCAATTCGCGTCAACTACAAGGTGGTACGAGATCTGGTGCCCGGGTTCTGGGACACCGACTACCACGGCCACAAGATCGACATGGCAATCCACATCGGCATGGCCGGCCCCCGGCCCTTGTACCAGATCGAGCGGAGGGCTCACAGGAGGGGGTACAAGACGCCGGACGTGGACGGCGAGCTGCTGGCCGACGGGCCCGAGGGGAGACCCGACGACCGAGACTGGATCTGGTACGGCCTGCCGGATGAGATTCTGACGGAGTTTGACGTGGACGATGTTCACAAGCGGTGGCAGGCACATAGCTCGGTATGTCTACCGCCTTTTCCCTTTTTCTCGACGGCCTTTGTAGGCCCGGCTTCTTTTGGGCCGACAGTTTCTTTTCTCCGTGTTTCCTTGGCTGTTTGTTCGTTTGTTCTCTTTTTCTTCACGAGGGCTAACGCACGGCTGGTCGGGGGGGAGCGTGGGAGCGAGCAGAAGGACATGGACCTGCGCGTTTCAGAGGACCCGGGCCGGTACCTCTGCGACTTCATCTACTATTCTTCCCTGGCGCAACTGTACAAGGAGAAGCGGCCGCGCAAGGTGGTGTTCTTGCACGTACCGTCGGACTCGTCCGAGGCGTTTGTCACGCAGGGCCGTGAGCTCGCCATCAATCTGATCAGGGCGTTGGTGGAAAGCGAGACGGCCGCGCAGACTGGCGCGTAGGGGCTGTGTTGCTTGGATACGGAGGGGTTTCTTGGGGGTCGGACGGACCCGTTTGCTGCATTTCTGGCGCATGTAACTATCGTCGTTGAGGGACGGGGGAAGCCATTAGTACCCCATTGGTGCCGAGTACTGCATGATTTGCTTGGAGTGGACGTGCTCGACGTGATGCGTCTGGACCATTGGTCCGGCGAAGCCATCCGACTGCCGGACATGCACGGCACACGACACGACTCGCGAGCCAGCCCCAAGCCCAGCGCGGCCGCGAGGGCCCGGTCGCCGGCCGGTTCGAACCCCCCCTGGCATCGGCGACCTCCCGGGGTCTCCGCACCCCCGCGGCGGCAGCCAATCGCCGAGAGAGGCAGCCCCGCCACGCCAGGCAGCCAGCTGCTCCGCACGGAGCATGTGCGCCAGCTATATAAACGTCGACGGCGCACCGCCTGCCCCTCGTGTGCTCCAAGGGCCCGAGGCAACCATTCTACGGAGTAGTATTTGCCTCTTTGTGCCACGGGCCACCATGTGCCGAAAAGCCACGTGCGACACATGCAGTAAGTTGCTGCCCGACGCCCGACGCCCGCCGTTCGCCGCCCCGCGCGACAAGGAAAACCTTTTTTGAGCATTTGCTGACGCGGGTCTCGTGTGTTCTTTGCGCGCCAAAAGAAAAGACGACGTGGTGGGGATGCGGGAACCACGTGCCCACGGTGATGGATGGAGTGCCGCCCGCGGAGAGGTGTACGTGCGAGCCGAGGATCGAGAGGGACGGCAGGGAGTATCCGCCCCCGGGGAGGCAGGGGACGTGACTGGCCGGTGGTGGGGGCAGCAAGACGGAGGGAGTGGGCGGCCCTGGTGATGCCTGGGTTTGCGGAGGACGAAGCTGCTTGCGCCGGGCCGCGGCCGGGCTTTGTTTGGTTCGGACACGAGATAAGTTGCGTGCCGTTGTCGGGGAGCGCGCGGTTTCCTTCACCTTGACCGCCTGCAAACGACGAGCCGCGCAAACGCCGGGGCATCTGGCGCACGGCAAAGCGGTATTTGGGCACGTAGGCGCACGGAATTAGGACAGTGCGCACACGAAGCACGGACCCGAGCGCCCCTTTTTACAGGGCGCACACAGTCCTCGCTCTTGCAGCTCAATCAAGGCTTTTTACCATCATCTACTCCGTACGTGATATCTGGCTTCGGTGCCCCCCGCTGTCGCGTGGCAGCAACGCCGTCTTCACGCCTGATGCGGGTCTTCTCGTTGAGGAATAGGATGCGTGACGTCGGATGAGCCGGCGGCCACCGGCGCAACGTCAGCTCTCTACTGACAGGGTCGGCCGAGTCATCACCGCACGTACTCCGTACGTGCGTGCCGCGTCATCTCCTCCTCGCACCGCCGGCGCCGGCATCCCCCCTCTCCGCCAAGCTGACGACCTCCTGGATGCCTGCGGCCTCCTGCTCCTCCTCCAGAGCGGTAATCTCCTCCCGGCAATCCCACCACTTCTCCTCGCTGAGCTCAAACGCCTTGGCCTTGATCTCCTTGATGGCCAGTGTCTCGGGCTGGATCTTGTTCCAGCGGAGACTGGTCATGAGGATTTCCTGCCACTCGGCTGATGTGCGGACAAAGAAATCGCGACGGGATTCAAACGGCTGCCCGTGCTCTGTCAGCACCACTGCGTCTGCGTCGCCGTTTCGGGGCAAGAAAACAAAAAGAAAACAATGGGCGTGTAGCTTACTCTAGGGTGCGGTAGACCGTCGTCCACAGACGTGGCGGCCGTTTCCGCGTCGTCTTCTCCGGACAGAGTAGACGTTGTTTCTTCGGAGGCGGTATCCGAAACGGCATCCTGGTTTTTGCGCTTGCTGGGAGTATGCAGCTGTTCAGATTCGTCGTCATCGTCCTCTTGGTCTCCTCTTTCGTCTTCGTCTTCTTCTTCTTCTTCTTCTTCTTCGCCTTCTTCATCATCCTCGTCGTCATCCTCTTCATCCTCATCTTCGGATTCCTACCTAGAGTTAGCAAATAAATCAAGGGGTAAACACGGCGAGGCCACCACTCACGATCCAGTCTTGTACCGGGCGGCTGAAAATCTCCTTGCATCCATCCAATTTGCTCAAATCAATGGCGTACAAGTCGTCAAACGTGAATTCACGATCAGCCTTCTCAAACGTTCCGCCGTATATGTAAAGAACGTCATCCTGCACAGCCATCTGCGCATTGAAACGAACATGGGGTGGCTCCATGGTCACTGGCATTTCTTTGGCTGGCATCTCCTCTTCCTCTGGTTCCCCTGGTCTTTCAATCTCCATCCCGGCAACGTCGTCGAGGGAAGCACCCGTTTCGAGGGCGGCCAGTTGCCTCAGCAGCTCCTCTTCATTGGCCTGGGCGCGGCCACGACGGCCTGTGCGTGGCGGTTCGGGAGCGGCTTTCCTTTGCTGACGGGGCTTGCGAAGACCCAGGGGCATGAACCTGTTGCGTTCAATGTTCCATGCGAAAAGCTGGTTGAAAAACTCGCTGTCCATACCCTCCTCGCCCGCTTCAACGTCGTGCACGCCCCCGAACAGGATGCCCCGTCCCTTGTGGAAGGTCATGGTGGCTCCGGCTCGAGCCGGGTTGGGAGGGTTGGCCGGCTTTTTCCTTCGCTCCCACCGCACAGTCGGGGGCGTGCTGGGGTTGGCGTCGGCCGGGGGTAGCGCCATTCTCAGGAAGAAGCAGTCGTCGTGGATCTTGGCAACCAGGACATTCTTTTGTGCCTGGCTTTGAGACTTCCCCGCTCTCTTCTTCAGGTTGACGGTTGCCTTTACACGCGAGTAACCGCCGTAGAGCACGGCGCCCGACTCGCACGGGAGCAAAGTAAAGGAGGATCGGGCGTCGGGCTTGAGCTGCGCCTGCGGCAACGTCGGGCAGTGCCAGACAAAGTTTACGGTGTCGAAGATCCACAAGTCTGCCAAATACTTGGTCTGGTTGGAGGTGTCTTGAAAGCCGCCGAACAAGACGATGTACTGCTTCCAGTAGGTCATGCGATGGCCGCTCCGCGCGGACGGGCTCTTATCCTTGCCCTTGACATCAATCTTGGTCCACTCCCTGGTGGCGGGCTCCAGCCTCCAAAAGTCGGAATAGTGGTGGAAAGTGCCCTGTTTCGGCGAGGAGAACTCGCCGCCAAACAGGTAGACGTGGTTGGGGTTCGAGGCACGAGTCCACGCATGTCCGGAGCGAGGCAACGGGGCGTTTGGCGAGGTGACGCAGCGCCACTCATCGCGCTGGATGTTGTAGATGTGCAGGTCATTGTAGAACTGTGCCAGAGACCCGTCGAAGTATTCCCCCCCAAACAAGAGCAGGCTGTTTGCATCCGTGGGCGAGGCCATCAACGTGGAAGCAGCCCTCGGTCGAGGCGGGCCGTGACACACGGTTTCGGTGATTTTGAGGAACTGCTCCTGTTGGCGGCGGTACGCTTCGAGAACAGCGTCGAGGTCGACATCCTCGGCGTCGCTGCCGTCGATCCTGGCAGCTTTGGTCTTGGCCTTTTTCGCGCCTTTGCTGGCCTGTTTGGCAGCCTTTTCGGCCTAGGTACGAGGAATGTCGGTAGTCAGTCGAAGGGAGAAGAGGCCAAAAAAAAAAACTAAAAAAAAAAAAAAACTGGTTGGTTGTGCCCTGGAGCAAAGAGGCGAAACAGGAGGAATGGTAGGTAATGCCGTACCTTTTTAGCTTTCTTGGCGTCGGAGTTCTTCTTTTTGTCCTTGGCCATGACGACGGACCAACGGGCCTTTGAAGGGCATCCAAGGCGCCGGGAAATTAACGAGCCCGAGTATTGCTGGGTCGTGGATGGTTCTGCGAGCAAACATTCGACTTTTTTTCGAGTCCGCCATCAACGGGCCGGATCGGCGTTACTGCGGGCAGGGACGTGCCCGAGGCCCCGCTCGCCCCACCCGGGGCAAGCCAGTCATGGAAGGTGCATTGACGTCGGGCATGTGATGTCGAGCCTTTTTATTTTATTTATTATTATTATTATTATCATCATTTCTTACATACTTTTAGCTTCAAGGTTCAAATTGGCTTTTATAGTATAATATTCACGTAAAAGTCCTTGGAATTACACCCAACTCAAGATGAAACACGTTGCTGCGCAACTATCTTTTGTACTCGGTTGTAGTTGTACCGGCGGCTGGCTGCAGTCACATACACGACTTGGCCTGATCGTTTCGTCTCGTAGCAAGCTCGACTTGCGTAAACACAGAGTAGTGGCTACTGTGCCACGTGATTTACCAACTCGAGGGCGAAGGATACTTTCAACTACACGGATAAGAGCTCGGGATGAGAAACTGGCGCTCCATGCTTCCGCAGCGCTGCATCACGCACATGAAGCGATATGATGGTGACAGTACTCCGTACACTGAAAAGGACTCTCGGGCCCCTCCCTGCTCCCGATGCGGCCGCGACATGGCCCGACGCGCAAGTCACGCCACGCATTTTGTGTGGGCTAATTAACGCCTCTGTATACCCATACTTCATACTGGCGACAACACCAACACTCCTGTCACCCGAGCCCTCGACTTGAGCATATACCGCTGAATAGTTCCAACTGTACGTTGTAGCCCATCGAAAAACCCGAGGCTTCTGCTACAGGACGTGCATATCATCGCTACAAACCACCTCGAGGTCTGTGAAAGATGCTAAACCCACCACCCAGCTCGCTGCGTCAGCTCCCGCACATGACCTGATTCGTCCATTCCGTCTTGTACCAAGTTCTTGAAACCTCATGTCGGTCATGAAGTAGCTTGCGTCTTGAATGAGTGGCTTCTGCAGTACTCTAGTAGCGTACTTTCTTGGCTGAAAATACTTACACCTGGAATAGTGTGGTGTTGCAATCACGGCCTGCATGCCTCCGTCGTCGAGGTCAGGTTACATCACCAACACACGAGTTGCCGTTTACATACGACAGCTCGTGGGTCGGGTGCCTCGGATTGAACCCTTCAAGGACCTTTGACACGATACGACATTGCCTCTGAATGGAGTCGTTGCTTCCAAGCCCTCACATACACATGAAGCCAAGCCCCAGTCACGCAATCAACTCGGCCAAGTTATATAGTTTTCTCATGTTTAATCTTTCCAATCAGACGCACCTTGGACCCGAGTTTTATTCTGCCAGACTTCAATCATCAAGGATTCATGGCCCTCTGCCGGGCGGGCGGTGGGACCTTTTCTGCAACTGGGCTCCTCGCGACAAGACGATGCGGCGCTCATCAGGGGCATAACTATATGCTCCGCCTGTTGATGTTCCAGGGCTCGCCGCGTGTGCGGGCTAATGCCAATGACAAGGCCGTTCGACGTGGCAGGTTTTCACGGCGAGTCCGGCATCGCCGGGAGTTCTGTCGGCATCGGCGTGGCCTCGAACGGCGCGTGCGAGTTGGAGTTGGACGCGTCCCGAAAAGCATAAAGTCGAGCAGTCTGCCGCCCCAGATGCCCTTGAATTCTCCAGCGCCCACCAGTCGAGCACCGAAGCCTCTCCCCCTCCAAGACCAACAATGATACCTTCCACTGCCTTGCGGCTGGGCCTGGGCGTATGCTCAGTGCTTCCTCAGCTGGGACTCGTCTCGGCCTCGGCCATCCGGGCTGAGCTGCCGTCGCTCCTCGACGCAACGCTCGACGAGCTCCGCCAGGGCCTGGACGCGGGCCTCTTCACCAGCGTCGACCTTACAAAGGCCTACATAGCCAGGATCAAGGACGTCGCCGACGACCTACACGCCGTCAACGAGATCAACCCCGAGGCCTTGTCCATCGCCGCCGACATGGACGCCGCGCGCGCGGACGGGACCAAGAGCGCCGCGGGCCTGGGACCTCTGCACGGCATCCCCGTCCTGCTCAAGGACAACATCGCGACCCTCGACAGGATGAACACCACGGCCGGGTCGTTTGCTCTCGTCGGCGCGCAGCCCAAGGCGGACAGCACCGTGGCCGCCAAGCTCAGGCACGCCGGGGCCATCATCCTCGGCAAGACGAACCTCTCGCAGTGGGCCGGCTTTCGAGCCGTGACGCCAAGAGAAGGATGGTCAGCCTACGGGGGCCAGACCAAGGGCGCCTACCTTCGCCACCAGAATCCCCTGGGGTCTTCCTCCGGCAGCGCCGTCTCCGCCTCCATCGGCCTGGCCTGGGCCGCCCTGGGAACCGAGACGGACGCCTCCCTCATCCTGCCCGCCAACGCCAACAACGTCGTGGCCATCAAGCCCTCTGTCGGCCTCACGTCCCGGTACCTGGTCGTCCCCATCTCGGAGCACCACGACACCGTCGGGCCCCTGGCCAGGACGGTCAAAGACGCGGCCCATCTGCTGGCCGCCATTGCCGGCCCCGACATCAACGACAACTACACCTTCGCCATCCCCGCCGGCGGAAAGCTGCCCGACTACGTGGCCGCCTGCAGAGAGACCGGCCTACAAGGCAAGAGGCTCGGCCTGCCTCGCGACTGGCTGCCGCCACCGGACAACGACACATCTCCCATGCGGGTATTCGAAGACGCCCTGGAGGTGCTCCGGTCCCAAGGCGCCACCGTCGTCGACACCCAAGTCCCCGTCAGCGAATCGGTCAGAGACTCCCTCATGGCCACCCTGGGCGCCGACATGCTCTCCGGCGTGGCGCGCTACTTCGGCAACCTCAGGACCAACCCCTACAACATCACCACCCTGAAGCAGCTGCAGGACTTCACGCAGGGCTTCCCACAGGAGGACTGGCCCGCCGTGGACACAGGTCTCTGGCAGGATGCCATCGACCAGGACCTCGACAACACGTCCCCCGAGTTCTGGAGCCTCTACGAGGAGTCGGTGCGCCTGGCCGGCCCGCAAGGCCTCCTCGGCGCCTTGAGGAACAACTCCCTCGACGCCATTGTCGTGCCCACCACCATGATGAGCTTCCTGCCAGCCGTTGTCGGCAGTCCCATCATCACCGTGCCGCTCGGGAACCTGCCTGCCCACTGGCCCGAGACTGAAGACGATTCCGGGACGCTCGTCTCCGTTGGGCCCAACCTGCCGTTCGGCATCGCCTTTGCCGGAGACTTGTTCAGCGAGGAGAAGCTGATTGAGATTGCGTATGCGTTTGAGCAGAAGACAAAGGCTCGGGGCACCGTTAGGCCGCTCGTGAAACCAAAGACGGATCTGCGGGATGTGGTTGGGCAAAAGGACTAATGTCGACGTCGGGAGCGTTGACCTTGACGTTGCTCCCCCGTCAACATGCCAACAGAACAGAGACGGCGGCATGACTCCAAGCCGGCTATCAACTGGCTGGGCGTCGGCATCTCGAGCCAGCTTCCAACAAGCTAGCTTGTCTGTTGTCGCGTGATCCTGAGACGAGGCCAGCTACGGCCATCTCGTGACTTCTGGCTTCATTACCTCGAGTTACAGCTGAGTTATTTCATCTCGCATCAGTGGAGGATTGTTGTAGGTATCTGACTTGGCTTGTTGTGGCATGGGAGGTCTTGGACAATTCTACCGATGGAAAATATTTGAAAAAAGCCAAGGTTTTAAATTCCAAAGTTCTCGCGACAAGGGCTCAAAAGGGGGGTTGTGGCTATAACTTATTAGTTCAACTATAACACCCAACGGTCCTTTTGTTTCCACAAGGTCCTCGCACCCACATACTTTTGTTTATGCCGCATCCTTCTGCCCTAGGGCTCGTCATCAATGATCGTAGCCCTTGTGTAATTGTGTGACCAAACGTGTGACCGTTCTGGATGGGTTGATTAGAGGAAGACTCTTCTTTCTCCATGAATCCCATGCATTACTTGCTACCTAGGAACGCCTCTTACTGCATTGAATCTTTTGATGCCCTGTCGCAACATCTGTACCGGAAGATTCCGACTGAAGCTTGGGAGGCACTGGAGTAAATGGGGCCGCGCTGGATTGACTCAACCGCCATGCTCTGCGAGACCACCAGTTGTAGAGCCCTTCATGGGTCCTCGTGCATGACATATACATGTGATGCAGCTGGGATACGTACCTCAAAACGAGCGCTCCTCGAGTGCCTCTCGCGAGTCTGTTTTGACCAGCAACTGGGACGGTGGCCCAAGCCGCATACCTCTGTGATGATGCAACAACACCGTACCGTACCGTTTCATGATCCTCTAGCTTTGCACCTGGGAATGTACGCCACCAAAGCCTTGCTGGCGCCCTCCATGCAGTACTGCACAGCGTCCACCTTCCTGTCCTCTGGCGCCAACTTTGCAATCTGCCGAATGTCGCTCGTCCGCGGCAGATACAACACGTGGTCCATGCTGCTGTATGCCGAATGCAACATATCCAGGTTGTAGGGCTGCATGTTGCTCAGGTCAAACACCTCATCCGTCCTGTACCCCGGGCCTCCCCACGGCGGACTCGAAAACACCACCGTCTTGCTCACGTCGACCCTCGCGTCTGGATGAAGTTCCTCGGGCCGGTTGTGCAAAAGCTCCAGGTACTGAAAGCTATCTGCGTGAATCCACGTGACGATTGAAGGGTCTACCTCGTAGAGCTCTGCGTTGTTCTGGCCACAAGCCAGGGTTGAGGCGTCGCGTTCAATGGCAATGATCCGCTTCCAGCGGCCTGTGAGTGCAAAGGCGATGGTATTGCCTCCGGCACCAGCAAAGGCGTCTATGAGGGTGTCCCTTGAAGCGTCTGTGGCGCACATTTCCCTGGCGATTTGACTTTCTGGACGTTAGGATGGGGACCGCCGACGCAGGAAGGGCCGTCAAAGGGAACATACTTGGCTACTGGCTCTGGTGTGACGCCGAACCAGGCGTCATCTGTGAGGTACACGCCTTCGTCGTACCAGGAAAATATGGAGTATCTTTGTGAAAAGTATCTGTTTGTCTCATGGTTAGTACTCCAACGTCATCAAACGCGGTGTGGTGAGCGGGCTTGGACTTTTGTATATCCCACGGCACTTGATGTCTGCCTTCGTAGTGTTTACATTCGTCAGTAAGGGGAAATTTGTCTGCCGGCTCCAAGGCGTAGCCTGTGGCAATTTCGGGGACCTTGGCTGAGGACATGTCGACACTTGCGCACGTAAGCATGTTCTACTGGCAGACTTCATGGAGCTCAATTTTTGCAGCGTCGTTACTATGCTCAATGTTGAAGATATGAGACACAGCTGAGAGAATGTGAAAAAGACGGACGACCAAATGACGGGGAAAAGGTGGGCCACCATCCCCCCACCCCCGGGGTAGCACCAGTGGGGCTGACCTCCCACCTGCAGGGCTGCAATGTGACCAGTTGACAGCTTGCGATAGCTTCAAACAACACCTAGACATCGCCGCGCTGACCAAAGTCATCCCTGGAATCACGCCTGCCGCCCAAGCACCTCGAAATCGAACTAGCCAGCCCCAAAAAAACACACCGACCTCATCGCATGAGACTGGAAACCGCGTAGAAACAATGTTCAACGCCCTCAACCGGTTCATGTCCCGTCTGGACGGCGAAGTGCCCCAGCAACGCAGTGACCGGGGCTCCTTCGGTTTCCAGGCCCTGAGGAACACAAACCTGCAACTGGCCGTCGAGCCATGGTTTGACTTTATTGTTGGAATAAATGGACGGCCAATTGTGCGATAAAGCCTCGTCGAAATGTCAATCTCACGCCGCTTAGCTAACGCCTCGCCGTGGTATTGCAGGAAGATCCCAACCCAGCTCTCTTCGCACAAGAAATACGCAACTGCGCCGGCGGCACAGTCTCCCTCGGTCTGTGGAACGCAAAGGTACACGGGCCTGCCATCATCCCCTCGGCGACATGGCACCGTCAAAACTGACCCGGAGATCACAGGGCCAACGAACGCGAGAAATGCACATCCAAGTGCCCCCAGACACTGCATCCCTCGGCCTTACCCTCCAATACTCACCAATTGCTCTCGCCGCAAACATCTGGCACGTACTGGACGTTGCCGCCAGGTCCCCTGCCGATCAGGGCGGCCTCCTCCCCTACAGCGACTACATCCTGGGCAGCCCTGAAGGACCGTTACACGGCGAGAGTGCCCTGGGCGAGCTTGTAGAGGACCATATCGGGCGGCCGCTACGACTTTTTGTGTACAACAACGAATTCGATGTCACGAGAGAGGTCACAATACATCCTAGTCGAGGCTGGGGCGGCGAAGGCGCCCTAGGTTGTGTGTTGGGCTACGGCGCGCTGCACCGTCTGCCCGCGCCGTTGAGCGAGCCTGTGAGTGCGCCGGGAGAGACCATGTTCGACGGGGCCGTGGATGAGAAGAGAACCGGGGCCGGTCTCACCTCCACGGGTGCAGACTCTGTGCTGCCGCCTGCCGCCGCAGCCTCGACAGGTGGTGAGTATCTGGTGCCCGCGCAAATGGTCGGCTCAGACCCCACGAGTGCAACTCCGCGCTCAGCAGCAAAGAAAAAGGACAGACACCACCCGGCCAACAACGATTTCATGGACGACTACTTCAAGGAGGAAGAAAAGAAGAGCCGGGCGCTGGACAACGCCCCATCCGGTAAAGGATCACCGGCACCGCCGCCACCCAGGGCAGGTGGCCCTCCAAAAGCTGCAACTCCTGTACAAGAAGCAGCCGAATAGGATACAGTAGTCACGAAATAAATGCCATCAAGGATTCTCTGATTGACCCAGTTCGTTTCGTGGTTCACTTTCTGTCTATATTCTTCCCTGAATCTTGCTACAGTATAAAAGAAAAAACAAAGTCCATTCATATTATACACTTTGCGGTTGCACACCTGCCGTTGTCTTTTTTCCTGTTGGAGTCTCCCGTCCTTAATTGATAAAGTTGACGCAGAAAAAGTGCAGAATGAGGCTGCAGACAACGAAATCGACAAAAGCCCTGCCAAAGCCGTTAGAACTACCGCAGCCACGCACATCACATGTTACTCGCAACAACCACACATACCTCTCGGGGGAAACGGATGGGAAATCACGCTTGTTCGCCGCAGCCGTCTGCATCCGCAGTGACACTGCTCCATCGTCAGCATCCCCTCACCTGACCACGACAGAGGGCACCACGAAAAGGGTACATACCCGTCAAGACGAACTGACCAACCGAAGCACAGAAGCCCGATAGAAATGCGTTGAAAGGCTACCATTCGGCGTTAGCACACGCGTGCCCATATCGGTCTCTTTTCCTAGGGTATCAGAAAAACACACATAGTTGCCTGCGACGACGCAGTACACAAACTGCAGCCCACCAACGACCACCAAGAAGAACAAGAACACGTCAATCAGCTTCGTCCTTTGTGGCGTCTCCTTCATGTAGTACTGGTGGATATTGAGCAGGACCTCGTGCCAGTTGGCGCGGCTGCCTTTGGCACTCGATTTGGCTGGCGTGGCAGTGGCCTCATGGACGGGGACGGCGGCCGGGGTCGGGGTTGTAACGCGGTCGCGGGCATTCTTCTTGGGGGCCATCGTGCGCTGGGTATTGCTCTGGGCAAAGGAAGGCAAAGAGGGGCGGAGGGGGGGGGGATAATAACGCCAGAAAACCAGAGTGCGTTCGTTCGTGGAGGAAGCTTCCGGACTGACACTTTGTTGGATGGCGGTTTGACGAGTCCTGGACTTTGGACAAGTAAGCTTCTCGGAGGACTGTGCGCTGATTGGCTGGACGAGCTGGCCTCTGCTCTGATCTGGGGGCGTGGTGCGACCCACTGATGTCGTCAATCGCTCCTGTGAGGAATCGCCGCAAGCTCGGATGGAACTTGCTCCTGTCCATCCAACGTCTTTTCGTGCCTTTGGCGACCATTATCAGTCCCTCAAGGTGCATCCATATACCGGAGATACGGTCCCTCTCTCCCAGTTCCCACCGACGATGGTATGTCCCTTCCCATGCCTGGACAATTCATCATGCTACCCGAGGACTAGCAGCTCACTTTCACAGCCCCAACTCGACACTGCATCCTACGCCCTCGCCGCGCTCACCGCTGGCGGCGGTGTCATGGGCTACGCGCGCACCAGGTCCATGCCCTCCATCATAGCAGGGACTGCCGTCGGTGTGCTCTGTACGCAGTCTCCCCTTTCCGCCAACTTGAGTCGCGCAAGCTGACGGTGATGGTGTCTAGACGGAATTGGTGGCTACCGCATCCAGAACCGCCAGCCCTACGGCGTTGAGTTGAGTCTCTTGGCGTCGGTCGTTCTGGGAGGATCAGCCATTCCCCGCGCCATCCGCCTCCGAAAGCCCGTCCCGGTCTTGCTCAGTGTCTTGTCCGCCTTTGGTCTGTTCACCTTTGGCAGGGCGTACCAGCGAAAGCTGTAGCCGCAACGCCGTGGCCCCGAGCACACGCACAGTGTGACGGATTTTCTTGAGATGGAGAGAAACGAGATGAAAAACAATCGAGAGGTTTTGAGCCGTGTCATGTCGCGTTCATCCTTGTATCGTACAAATGTCCCTAGACTCATATTGCCGCGTTGTTTGCCTTGTGTTCCCCCGAACGCCAGTATGAAATACGTGCCCATTTACACATAATTGCCTCGCGAATAGATAGTCGGCCGTGTGCTGACACTCCCCGTTTCGCTCGCGCACGGCCCGTCGCCGCGGCCGATTTCATAGACCAAGGGCCTTTTGCTCCTCCTTGATCATGTCACGCTTCGCCTTCGCGGCCGCCCTGTTCTCCGCTTGCAGCTTTGCCCGCTCGAGCCGCAGACACCGGTTCACCTTGTCTTTGACGTCGTTGCAACCGCCGGTGGCTTTGTGCATGAAGCCTCTGTTGTGGCATTCCTCGAGGGCGGCGATGATTTCTTCGCACGCTGGGTCGGGCGTGGCCTTTGTTAGCTGGTATGCCCACACGGGAACGAGTCTGCCAGAGACGTGTAGGAACTTACCCAACGCGTTCTTCGTATGCAGATGCGGATGCATCTCAATTCGTGAAATTGGGGGACTCGAGAAGCGGAAGTGATGAATCGCTGAGAATTCCGAAGGTGGTAGGTACCAAGCAGTACAGGTAGATTGGGAGCCCTCCCCCCCCGGTGCCATCGGCCAACCAGAGAGCTGGAATGCATTACGTCAAGTGGGCGCCTCCAAAGGTCCGGTGTCAAACCTCGACATCATCCCGCGCCGCCTCACGCATCGGCCTCCCAAGCACGCGCAGAGCCTCGCAGAGGGCTTTATTTTTTAAAAAAAATAAAAGAGAGGCAAGGGGAACAATCAACGACACAATCGCAATTCATCAACTGGTAACTATCATGTCTGCGTCAACGGTCGCGGCGCCAGACGGAAAGAAGCAGCAAGGTATGTCGAGCGAGCGAGCGTCGTCGGCGGTCGAGGCCGGGCTAACTTAGCCCTGACGCAGATCTTCAAACGACATACTCGAACTACAAGAACACGCTGCAGCAAATAGCGCACAAGATTGGGGATATCGAGCAAGAAGCAGAGGAGCACAAGTAAGAAGCCGCGGATTTTGATTTTTTTTTTTAGGTGGTCGCTCTCGCTCTCACGCGGACGCGCCGCCGCCACCCCCTGCGCTCTTCGTACGTGCTCGGACGAAGCGCCAATATTTCGGCCCCCTCTTCATCTCACCGCTTTGATGTCGCTTCACACCGCTTACTATTTGGCTTGCCAATACATAGACTGGTCTTGGAGACGTTGGGGCCCCTGTCGGAGGATCGCAAGTGCTTTCGGCTCATTAATGGCGTTCTCGTGGAGAGGACCGTCAAGGATGTAGTGCCTGCTTTAAAAACCAATCACGAAGGGCTGAAGAAGGTGTTGGACGACCTGGTAAAGCAGTACAAGACGAAACAGGATGAGTTGGATAAGTGGAAGGTATATGCCGCAACGAGCACTTGTCGTTTTTATGCTGTTACGGGCGGTTTGCTGACGGGAGCTTTACAGAAGAAGAATAACGTGCAAGTAGTGCAACAGTGAGCAGGCAGACGCAGGCAGACAAGAGATTCAATCTTTATGGGAAAATACATGGTCCTCCTGAACGGCGTCAGTTTGGATGACAGCGATTAGCGCAAATTGTCACGTCGTCGGCCTCGGCCTCGGCGACTCCCTGGGACAAAGCAAAGCAAACCAACACACAGGAAAGTGCCATCACTTTTCATCCCTAGTCTGGCTTTGCCCGTCCGCACCCCCCCTTCCTTGTTTCCCCCATCAAACGCATCATGGGTGTGCCAACGCTTATCCTTGCACTATTAGAACGAACATATTACAGCCAAGTATCATGTTCGGAACGTGACCCGGGAGCTGCAGCAAACATACCCGCTGCTAGAGTATGATGTTACCAGTTAGGGCTGCGATAGTCGCGTGAATTTGCTCTGCGCGGCATTGGCTCTTCGATGCCCAACCAGTCTTGGTTTCCCCCCCCTTCTCAGCTGAGGTCAGATCTCATGTGGTGCATACACAACGTTGACTGGAAAGCGACCTTTGGGAAAGAATTTTCATTTTTTTTTCCAGCTCATCCCTGCAAAACTACTCCGTACCAGTGGGCAGTATGCATACCTTCGCTATGCGGCCAACGATTTGCAATTTGATCGGCCAAATCCCGCGACTGAAGATGTGAATACCCGGCATCCATGGACACAGCCCACCCACCTTTTCGAAACTCTGCTTGCTGCCGGCAGTGCCACGTCATTCAAAGAAAGACTCCCAGATTGAGGAAACGAATGCAAGGACTCTGGATATGTTGTCTGCCGTGATGCGATTCATTTTCCAATGTCCAATCTAGTGTGAGGCAGATGATAATAGGCGCGGCGGGACGGCTTCGTGCTTGAGAACAAGGACTGACATTGCACACTGCCTGTCTACACACCACATGACTGACTCTCCATCCTGTCATCCTGTGGCTGCCTGGAGGAAACTAGTTCCCACCAGCTTGAAGGAGTGGCTCTGCCCAGCCACCCTCGAGTCCTCGAAGCTGCAGTTGGTTCTATAAACTCGGTGAGTCGCCGCCATGTAAACAAGACACTTGCAAAGAGCGCCAAGGGTCTTGGATCGACAGAGAAATAGCGCCGCGAAAACACGACTGCATCATCACGTCGTCACCAAAGATTGGATTCCGCGCTACGGGCCGCGATGTCGGGGCTCTTCAAAGGGCAGAACACCGACGCCATGATCATGGAACAGAGCGAGGCTTTGGGATTTGACGCAGCCACGAATAGACCGTCTGCATATGCAGTAGAGCCCTGGTACCGGGCCTTGTGGTGATCAAATATCGGAGGTATCGCTATCTGTATGCGAGTGTCGGCATTTATATCATGGGCGTGAGGGGGAACGGCTTTGATATGGACGTCTTCCGGCCGTGCCAGAAACAGCCTATCATCAAAACCCGCCGACTAACCGACCCTGGAAAAAAGGGTGGCCAAGGGCGGAATAATCTCGAGGGTGATATTCGAAGAAAATGATGATCGTCCTGTCGGAGTTGGTTTGTATGCACAGTCTTTCTGCACGGGGGCTCGAGGCAGACAGAAAGCCTTGTGCCTTTTGCCCAGTCGGAAGATATGGCCGGAGATGCTGCCCAACCATTGGGTGCATTGGCGATTTGCATCGCCAAACGGCCGCTGAATGGGCCTTTGGGCCTGCATTCGGGCGACGGTTCCTGAACGACTCCGATGCTCTGGGCACGGACTGATTGGCACGAGTGGCGGTTGGGGCAAAAGCAGGTCAGCCTGAAATTAACCACCTAGGCAGTAGTAGTCTGACGAGAAGAGCTGGTAGCTGTGCATGAAGTCAGCGGCGGCGCGAAAATGCGCGTTGACTGGAGTGGCAGAGGGAAGATGCCGGGTTGGATGCGGCATGGTGCCAGACTCTGATGGATGGAGCCCGGGGGGGATTCCAAGGGATGTTTTCTCTTCTTGACCGATCTTGTTGCCATGTTCGGTTCCCGTGGAGGAATGGAATGACCAGCCCCTTGTAGGCTCGGGTATCATACGCATGGCCTGAAGCACACCGCCATGAGTGGGAGATGGAAGGTCACGATACTGTGGTGCTTGGAGAGTGGCGGGGCGGGGCGGACGAGCTTGCTTGCTTGGGCCAGGCCAGAGTGCGGCTGCCTGGCATCTTATCGATAAGTAGCAACCTGTAGACGGCAATAGCACCCTCCCTGTTCTGCAGGCAGGCACCAACAGGCTACGGAGTACGGAGTACAGCGCTGGAAAAAGTCTGGTTGGGTCGACTGGTACGGAGTACTCCGTACTGGCGCTGGCACCTCGTAATGGGCGGGCTGGTCAGGTCACTGGTACCCTTGTTGACGTGCATGTTTTTCTAGCCTCGCAACCTGGTGGCATCCTCGTCAGCCTTCTTCTTCCTCCTCAATCAACATTCAAGGTTGAAACTTGAACCCCACGCCTCTCTGCGCTCCACCAATGCAGTTGCTGCCACCTTGACGGAACAACGCCGATTCCCTCGTCCGAAGAAAGCGAAAGCCCATTTGCTTGGGCTCCTGTCCTGTCTCGCGACCCCAGCCGGTATGCCGACCCTTTTTCAATTGCTTTGCTCCTGCTTCTGCTCCTGCTCCTGCTCCTGCTCCTGTTTTTGTCTCGTCAACCGGTCCTTTGCGACTTGTTGGGACGCACGGCCTGCCGTGGCTGCTGCTGTTGCGGTGCGGTTGCGGTTGCGGTTGCGGTTGCGCCGGTCTGGACAAGGCGTTGCGCCGTGTGCAACCTTGAGCGCTCGCGTCGCCGTCGCATCCTTTGGAAATGTCGAGTCGATGTCGCCGCCGACCGCGAAAGCGCATCCATCCAACCCGCAATCCCGTCGTCCCGTCCTCTTTGCCTGCGCTGCTCCTTGCCCGCCGCCGTCTTGTCCTACCTGGCCCTTCCTTTCCCGGCGTCGGTAGGGGGAAGAGAAGAAGAGGAAGGGGAAGAAACACGACGACAGCGACACGAAGAAGAAGAAGAAGAAGAAGAAGCTAGGCCTCGCTCTTTCTGTCTTTCTTCCTTCCTCCCCCTTCCTCTCTCTCTCCCTCTCTCCCTCCATGTGTGTCTGTGTGTGAGTGTGTGTGTGCGCGCGCGCGCGTCCCTCTCAACCTGGGAGACGTCGACCTTCCGGCTGCCTCGTTCGTACACGTACGCCCCCGTCGTCAAGCTGATGGCCCGGGAAGCCTCGCGACGCTCCAGTCTAGCCCGTCGTCGTGTCGTGTCGTGTCGTGTCGTCGTGTCGTGTCGTGTCGCCTCGCCTCGCCGACACCCGTGTGCTTGGAGACGCTTCGCTCTCTCTCGACCTGCATGCCCACCCCCCCTCCTTGGCCTCGCCTTTGGTGCGCCATCCTCTCCCAACCTTCAACCACCACATCGTACGGAGTACACGCCCAAGCATCTCGTCATTACGCCGTTCCATTCATCTGCGTACCCTGGCCGAGGCATGGTGAAAGCCATATGCAACCGCCATTGTCTGTTGAACGTCACCACTGACGCATCTCTTGCAGCTAACCAGACGTCCATCGGCCCCAGGCTGCCCAGGCTGCCTAGACGGTCTTCTGCCCTTCGTCAACGTGGCCAGGGGGACACATCATACCTCTCAAGACCCCATCTGTACCAGCCCGAACACCTTTGACACGGACGCTAGCAGCCGCTGCAGGTAGCCAAATATGTCGGACTCCCCCCAATCTCCTCCAAAGGATGTCGAGCAAGGTGCACAGTCACCCGACGACGAAGGACAAATGAATGACAATCAAGACCCACACTCGGTTGGCGGCGCCGCCGGCTATGAGTTTGAAGTTAAAGAGCAAGATAGATGGTTGCCCATAGCCAATGGTAAGTCGTCCTTTTCCTTTCAACCTTGGTCTTGATTTGATGTCCTCTGTCTGGTGTACCTGGGGCCTTTTTTTTGAAACTAGCCTGGCTTATCTTTCACAAGTTGGCCACTCATGTCTCGTGAACCAGCTCCTGCTTCACCGGGAACAGGTCGTTCTGCTAAGCAAGAATACCATGATGAGCTCGATGCTAACATCCGTAACTTTGCTCCAGTCGCCAGGATTATGAAGAATGCTCTGCCGGACAATGCGAAAATAGCCAAGGAGGCCAAGGAGTGTATGCAGGAATGCGTCAGCGAATTTATTTCCTTCATCACCAGCGAAGGTGAGTCAACGCAACCCGTCTCTATACCCACCTTTAGTTTCTACGCGTTGTGGCCAGAGTCGTAACGCTGGTTTTCAAGATGTGAATGCTGAGGTTCTTGTCAACTAGCTTCCGAAAAATGCCAGCAAGAGAAGAGAAAGACGGTGAACGGTGAAGACATTCTGTTTGCCATGACTTCTCTCGGTTTTGAAAACTACGCAGAGGCCTTGAAAGTCTATCTCTCTAAATATCGAGAGGTAATTTACCACCGTGCCCTGTCGTGTAAGTTCGGGCCTTGACGCGGACAGTGGCGCTGACAGCTCGGCAGCAACAAAATCAGTCCAACCGAGAGCGTGTCATGGAGAACACTTGGGCTGGTTCCATGATGTCCGGTGAAAAGGGCGACGGAGCTGCACCGGGGCAAGAGTTTGCCGCTGGTGATGCCTCGAACAGTGCCGAAGCCAGCGCCGACCCCAACTACATGTACGGCCAGCATGCCGGCCATAACGGAGCTGGAGCTGGGGATGGCTACTAGTAGACTCCCTCGCGTGATTTTTTTTTTTTTTTTGAACGAGATTGTCATGCGCAACGAACGCTATGAGAACCAGACCCTCCCGGGACCTTGTTGGGTCAATTGTCATCAAATCCAAACCAACGAAAATATCCGTACAGCAACTTCTTGGCTCGTCTTGTGGGATATAATGTTTTCCTGGGATTTTTTCACCAAGGCTTCTATTCTCTTCTTCTTAAGTGTCGGCTGGGAATTGTAAAAGTATAGACGGCGCCTACGGTGTACGTCAATTTTGTTTCGGGAACCAACCTAAGGCTTTTCTGCGCAGAGTTTACTACTACTACTCAACCAAATCTGGGCTGGGAAACATGTTTTTGCTTCAAATTGGCCTGATGCCCTCTTTTTGCTCATGGGAAGAAATGTCTGATTATAGATCTTCAACCGGTTCCAATAAGTACGATGAATAGTGCAAATAGGTGACAGACCTGACAGAGCCAGGCGCGGACTAAACAGCTTTTAGGTATACTTCGATAGTAATTTACTCCGGGCTACTTTGAGTTAATGGCTCCCTAGATGCGGTCCCTGTGACAAGCTTGGCGAGTGTGGAGAAACGAGCTTGGTTCTTTATGTCTCACTCCAAGAATGACTGAGATACTCCACGCTGAGCTCGTCCTCGTCAGCATCAGCACACCCAGCCAGGTACCTGTAAGCAGGGTTGGAAATTGGCAAGCCACCTGAAAAGCTGTGTAGTTCAACATACTGATTGCCGCGCAAATTCTCTTGTTGTGAGATTGCCATGGCTACCTCATTAAAGAGGAGATGAAGACAGAGAAATGGATACCCAAATGGCAGGTTCGACTGGAGTGAGTGAAACAGATGGAGCCATAAAATAACGGACATGAAATCAAAGACGATACTCCCGAGCTTCCATCTTACAATTTCCAACGAGATCTAGCATCTTTTGATCCTGACACCAGGCAAAGGGGATGATGGATCGTTTTTTGACCGAAATGGTCAAAAGGCACGTGCAAGGCCCCCACTTTTTCAGCCTGAAAATCTTCCCACCGCCTCGCCCCCTCTCGGGAAAAACGAAAATAGTTTCACGACGCTTTACTTATTGCCATCGCTTTTCATTTTCCTCCGCATCCATATCATCTCATTTACCACAGTCGGGCCGTTCCTTGGTATTGTTCTGTCATTACGCTACAGGATATTCCTATGCGATGAAAGTTTTGTACGCCCATTGCATCGTCACAGTTCGTGCTTCTCGTGCTGTGAACATACGTACCTTGATTGCGCATGCCTAGAGTTGCCATAGAAACTTGGCCTTTTTTGTGCCCAAGCTTCGCGAGTATCTGTGTCGCATCAAGTCAATCACCATCTTGATGCGATCATTTACCACGAACCCGAGGGCCTTGGCTGGCCAAATTCCGCGAACCGCAACGCCGGTCAAGTCAATTCTGAAACCTGCTTCCGTACTGGGGAGACGGAAAGGTTTGCACGACGAGACGGAGTCCTTACCTACAGATATCGAGGTGCCCGAAAGCCCGACAAAGCGACGCAGAGTATTGTTTGACGACATTCGAAATGTAACCTACGAGGTTGGTCGCAGGACAATGGACGACGTGAAGCTGGAGGTCCGGGCTGCTCTGGAGGATCATCTCCGTGGGAATGACGGCCAGTACGACATGCTGAAGGAGTTGTTCGCCAACGACAAACAGAGGTACCTGCCTCCGGTGGTGGGGGAAGACGACGACACTTTGAAACCGCACGAACTGCAGGTCTACGTCATGGCCTTGACGAGCTGCATACCGATTTTGAAAGTAAAGGAATGTAACGGCTTGGTAAGGACGATATTGAAGTGCTCTTGGCTGGGAAGAGATGCTGCCTTTACAAAAGTGTTTACGCATTTTTTGGCTGCGCTCGTCAGTGCGCAAGGGTCTTATCTCGTGCCGGTCCTGTCAATGATGGTGGAAAAATTCAGCTACTCTCGACCGTCTGCGTGGTCCGTGCCCGATTTTCCCGAGGTGAGCAGGGTCATCATGCGTGATCGACTACACTCGGCCATCGAATATATCCTGCAAATGTTTCCGTCGGCGGTAGCAGTTCTCGAGAGTCTGCTCAGCTCCAAGTTTCCCTTTCCCGACGACTCGGTCCGGGTGCACATGGCCTACATCCACAACCTGCTTCAAGTCAGGACGTATGTGCCCGACTTGCAAGACGAGATCCTGGACCTCATCTTGAATCGAGTTGTCAAGATTGACGCCCAGATGCAGGTAGACCTGGAAGACCTAGATGATGACGTCACTGCAGCCGTTATGTACGCGCTGCGAGAGAATCAGCGGCAGCCGTCGGCCTGGGAGGATGATGACTCTGATGACAGCGACGACGAGTCAATCGACAGCGAAATCCTCGACTACGACCAGCAGGCGGCGAGAATCAAGACGGTCAAGGAAAGTGTGGAGAAGATGGACGCGGTGCTGGACACACTGTTCAGCGTCTACAGCCCACACTTTGTCAATCCTGGATCCGACATTGCATTTGACATGTTCACGACGATTCTGCGCGAGTTCGACCACATGGTACTGCCCACGTACAAGCCAAGACACACGCAGTTTCTGATTTTTCACTTCGCGCAACAACACGAGCGTCTCACGGATGCCTTTTGCGGCCAACTCATGGCCACTGCGTTTCAGTCAAACACGCCAAATGTTTTGAAGCAAGCAGCCGCGGCGTATCTGGCGAGTTTCGTGGCTCGCGGAGCGCACGTGCCACCGAGCCTGGTGCGAACCATGTTCACGCTGCTCCTCCATCACCTCGAGCAGTATAGAAGAAAATACGAGCCACTGTGCCGCGGACCAGACCTGAAGAGATTCCACCCATACTATTCGCTCGTTCAAGCTACGCTTTACATTTTCTGCTTCAGATGGCAAGACTTGGTGGTGTCTGCGCCGGATGTGGTGGAGCCGGAGGATCCGGCATCGTACATTGGGCAAGACCTGGAGTGGATTGGAACGTCGAGGAAAGACTTGTCGGTGCAAATCTTTGGCAAACTCAACCCGCTCAAGGTCTGTGCTCCCGTCATTGTGGAAGAGTTTGCCAAGCTAGCCCACCGGCTCAACTTTGTGTACATTTATCCGCTGGTGGAGAGCAACAAGCGCGTGCGACTGACTCAATTTCTGTCGACGTACTCGACGGGCGGTGCACTACGGGATGCCGGCTACGAAGGGCAAGAAGAGAGCTATCACCAGCTGGACCCGTACTTTCCGTTTGATCCATACCAGCTGCCGATTAGTAAGCGATGGCTTGCGGACGACTATGTGCACTGGAAGTCGGTCCCGGGGCTGAACCAAGACGACGACGACGACGACGGCGGCGGCGGCGGCGGCGGCGATGACAAGTCGGAAGAAGAAGACGAGGAGTTGGTGGAGGAGACGGCAACGGACACGGACGGGGAGAAGTTTTGAGCGGCGAAGAGGACGATGTGGGAATAATTTTTGCTTTCTTGTTGGCTCTTTTTTTTTTTCATCCTATGGTCCTTTCTTCTGTGTCTTTTTTTGGGTACAATGATATCACTTGCTGTAGGAATGGCCCCAGTTCGGCGGAGGCATGTTTTTTAGGTAGCATAGCGAGGAGTCGGGAAGATGTTGTTTGAAATGTAAGCTTCTACTCGGTCATGGAGCATGGATCAGATTGGGCAAAATAAAAGCGTTGAAAGGTTTGCCACGGTGTCTTGATGCAGCAGGCGCCGTGGCTACCGGACAAACAAATGTACAAGTACGAAGTAGCTGCTTGATGGCACGACGGTGGGGTCAATCAATCCAAGCCAACTTTGCCGTACACGTGTCGGCTGTGGGCTGCAACTTGGCAGTGCGGGCACTGATCCACCGACAAGCTCCAGTCGACGGGCGAGATCCGAGGTGAGAAGATGAGGAGGTGAGAAGGTGACGAGGTGAGGCAATGGCAGCAATGCAAACGAGGCAAGGGAGGATCAGATGAACCAAGAATTCGTAATCCCTCCAGACTAAAAAGGCCGACGGGCAGCCGACGGGCAGCCGACGGGCAACCGACGGACGGACAACCTGTCGCTCCGCATCCAACCAACGCCAACGCCAGCCATCTGCCATCTGGGCCATCAAGCATCGGCCACGTCCCTCCCGTTTTCAACATTCGGACCTCTTGGGCGGCGCAAAGCACGGGCTACGTGCTCGGCACCGAATAGCATTTTTTTTGCGCAGACCCTGGGTCCGTCCGGGGGCTTGCTTCGGGCCTGATCTGATTCTCCTCCTCCTCCTCCTTCTTCTTCGTCTTCTCTCTTTCTGCCTCGTCATGTCTCCATGTAGCACTTGTCGTGTCTTGGCGTTGAAACGACCGGGACGGGACGCAGTTCGGGTCCTCCCCCCCGACGGGGCAAGAGCCGCAGGAGCCGGTCTGCAGATGAGCACGCGCGGCTAGCAAAGCTCACGGACGAGGAGACGCCGCGGATGCAGATGCATGTAATGTAGTTTACTCGGCTGTGGTGCTTTGCCGCCGCGACAAGACCACAAAGCTGGCCTCTGTCCTCTCTAGCAAGTCATTTCTTGTACACCAACCGCGGCGAGCCTGGGAAGAATGTCGAGACTTGTCCGCCAGCAAAAACACTTGGTTACGCGTGAAATAGCCCCGGCGGTGGCGACCGCTCCAGCAGGGCGGCAGCACGGGTTCTCCTCATTCTCATTCTCATAGTCATTGTCATTCTCAACTTCATGCACACCTCGCGTCGGGCAAAATAAACGCTGCGCGTGCGCGGTTCGGTGGAAATACTCTGCACTACTGCCGTCCGCGACTCTTTCCTTGCTCACAGGGCCCTGACCATGGTCCTCTCGTCGAACACGTCCTTCAACAGCGCCTCGGTGCAGGCCTCTCTGTCCACGGCGCCCATGGCGTACGTGGACTCGAACGCGTAGATGCTCAGCTGTCCGAAGAACGGGCGCAGTACCTTGGCCACCAGCTCGTCCTTTCTCTCCAGGCTCACGTCGTCGCTGATCCCGCCGGGCCCGAGGAGCGGCCGTCGGTGCGGACCCGTCGCCGCCCCGTGGGCTTCCTCCTCCGTGTCCGTCTGCGGTGCGTCGTGGGTGCCCAAGTTGCCCAGTTCCTCGGAGAGCTCGTCCACGAGCGCCACGGGCTGGTACGTCGACGAGCGGTGGACTGCCTCTATCGTGTCGGTGATGAAGAGCCACTCGTGCAGTTGGAAGTCGTCTGGGGCGGCGCAGACGAGCAGGTCGAGGAGCTTGCACGCCTGCAGAACGCCCGTGTTGACGTACACGTCCGATGCGGCGCTGTGGTCCGGCGCGACGACGGACGACATGGCGGCGTGCATCTCGGCGTTGACGACGGGCCACAGCATGGCGAGGTGGACGGGGCTGGTTTTGAGGGCCAGCGCCCGCATCACCAGGTACACGTCGGCGCGGGTTGTCGATGACGGAGACGACGTCGACGTGGCCGACAGTAGTTCGACCAGTTTGTCGAGGATGGCCGGGAGCTCGGCAACGAAGCCGTCGTCCGCCGCGGCCAGGACCAGCGTTGCAATCCGTCGCAGGTTGAGCTGTGTCTTCCTGTCTGCCTCTAGTCTCGCCGAAGTGGCACCCACGCCGAAGACTATGCCTGCCGTAGTCGGCGCGCTGATGCGACTCACGATTTCTGGCATCCGCTCCTTGTCTGTAAGAACCCACTGCTTCAGCAAAGGTAGCCATCCGTCCTTTACCAGATCGAGACTCATCCCAAAGAAGCGGTTGTCGTTGAATGCGTCCCCAACGTCCCTCTTCCACGTCTTCTGGTTGTTCTGCAATCGTGACAGCTCGTGAAGAAGCCTCAAAGTATGGCGCGTCACGGTTTCTGGGAATGACTTGGAACGCAATGTCGGTCCAACCACGTTGGTCGAGATGGTGCCGGCAGCCGAAAGAACCCGGTCAGGCTCAACAAGGATCTTGGATAAGTTTGGTACGACAGATGCCATTACCGAGACGATGTCGTCGGGCCCATTGCCAGTCGGCCCTTGTTTCCGCGAACCATCCGCCCTGCCCTTTTCAAGGCTGGCGTTGGTGAGGCTGCCAGCCTCCGTAAACGTTAAAGGTCGGGTTGTGAACAGAGCAGCTAGCAGTCGCAGGAAGATGTCCTAAAAATTGGTCTTAGTAAAATCCTACTTTTCCACGGGGGGGGAGTTGGGGGACGGCTATCATGTGCTTGCTACTCACTCCCAGCTCTCGACGCATCCGTTTCTGCTCTCCAAAGTTGGTATTGTCCACCTTTTCGCCCAGGATAGCCGCAAAGTCAACAAGACTGGGCAGCGTTTGGCGATGCGGGAATGGATTGCCAAGAAGATCCTTGAGAAAAATCATGCAGTCCTGCCATATCTCGTCCATGGCGTCATCCTCCAAAGACCTGCTGTATTCGACAAGAAAAGCAACGAGGTCAGAATCTTGTAGGGAAATCGTGAGTGTGGATTTTCGCGCTGGATCCAAGGCACCGGGGTTCGTTCGGCTGTATATTGCATTGAAAAGTGCTGGCATGGAGTGCTTCGGTCGGCACGCATCAAGAGAGGAGAGAAAGTGAAAGATTTGCGTCCGCTCGCTCCCGCTGCCTGAAGATCGCCAGATGTCGATGATGGTCTCTAGACATTCTAAAATCTCCGCGCTGAAAAGATGTTCCATTAATCTGCGAGCACGGTTTCTCATGCGCAAAGATGTGTAGCTAAAAGATGCTGAGGATCCGGCATCCTGCTTCTTGGAGTCATCGCCTTGACCCCAAGACCATATCGCATAACATATGCGCATCGCATCTTGAAAGGCAAGATGGACGGTTAGGCGATCATTGGCCGTGGCGCTTCGGGATTGGGGCCCTTCTGACTGGAAAACGCCAGAAACCATACTTCCGAATAGCGATGATGGTTGCTCTGGCCCCTTTATCAACTGGGCCCGGGCTTCCTCAGCCAGGAGCTGATCATGCGCCAACGCAAGGACCTGTTCCAGGCCATTGAGCAAGTATATCAATGTTGACTCCGGCGTGTTCTCTGTTGTGATGGTTGCAGATGTTCCACTCAGGAAAGTGTCGCGGAGGCCGGCAAACGTCGATCCTATGTGCTTGCAGAGCGTCTCGACCAGTGGAATTACGGTTTGAAAAATGCTATGAGAATAGAGGACAACGATTTGGCTGAGGAATACCACCCAACTATCCAGCACGCACTGGCTATTGGGCGAGCTTAGTCCGGCTTGTAAGCATTTCAGTAAAGCCGAAGGCATTGGTGGACCTATTGGTCGCCTTTCACTCGATGACACCGATGAGTGTCTCATTCTGGAATTATCCGCACTGGTCGGTCGTTTCTCCGAGACCTCAGCTGATTGTGCCTCTTGTACCTCCGTCTGCCTGAGCTTGACGCTGTCATATACAACATCGAGAAACAGTACTTGGACGTAGGGGTCAGGAGTGTTGATGGATTTCGCGAGTTTGTCAACAAGAATCTGATCCAGTTCAAGGCTAGACAGGGGAGTAGCATATCGGCTTAGTAGAAACTCGTGGAGAACTGTGAGTGCAAATCGATGCAACTGCGATACCCGTTGGCCTAACTCGGGACTGGCAGATGACGGCTGCTCACCCACAACGCAAATCATACACACGCGAACGAAGAAGTCCTGAAGTGTCATTTCGTCTCCCTCCGCTCCCGCTACGCATGATCAGCCGAGAAAACTACCCTAGGCTGGGCGTGACGACAATGACATACCTCTGATGTGGGCTGAACCGTCACTGAATGAGACGTATTTAGATGCCAGTACCGCTCTAGACATATCACCAGAAGCTCTGAGGACATTGTACAGCGTTCGTAGGTAGTATACACACAAATCGAAATCATCATCTTCCGTGAACTTGATTGGCTGAGAGTTGACTTTCTCGTTTGCATGGTGGGAGGTGACATGGTTGAGAAATGGCAGTTGGGCCATCTTCATCGCAAATATCAAAAACAGCCTATCCAAATTAGTATGTGTCACAGGACGGAAACTTTGGACTGTATGTCTGCACACCTGTCGATTCCAATCATACTATTCAGCCATGATTTGACAACCATGTACGTTTGAGTCCTTACATCCAAAAGTGCATCCAAGACCAAAAACACCGGTTGTGTGAGCATAACCTGGTAGTGATCGGTGCCAGAGAGCCGTGGTACTTGTCGCTGATCCAGTGTCTGGCCCTTGGAGCCTCTACGCTCAGGGGACGCATCTTGAAGGCTATGCGACCACAGTACACCGAAAGTTCGTCCATTATCAGCGGAACGAGCAGGCTCGTCTGGATCTTCCATCGGCTTTGTCAGAATTTCGGAAATTGCGGCCTCAATGTCACGACCTGATAGTGTAAGAGCCGTCTGCAGCTGCCACAAGCAACGCACGGTTTCGACGTGATATTTGGGTTCAGATGCCGACAAGTAGGACCAGGCATGACGAACTAATGGCCTTACTAGATCAGAAAACTCCTTGTCTTGAATCCTTCTTGCGGCATATAGCTGCGTTGATAGAGCTACCATTGCCGAGAAGTGAGAGAACAATAGAGGTTGTGTCTTGCTTAGGTTGCCATGCAAGTATGACACAAGCTGTCGTGCGTCGAAGTGGTAGTTTGCAGGCGTCTTGGAAAGGACTAGAGTCAATATTCGTACACGAGTTGTAATGTCGTCCACAGACGCTTCCTTCGCGTCATCGCAAATATACATGACGGCCTTCTCCAACAGTAATTCACCTGATTGTACAGCAGCAAGTGGGGGTTCGGATGACTCCAAGTTGCCCTGTTCATGCACATAAAACGTCTTGATCTTCTTCACGAGCTCAACATTAGAAGGCGATGGTAGAGCTGTTCCGTCTTTTTGATCACCGTTTTCCTCAGGTCGCTGAGGGAATGCTCGTTCAGGAACAAGTTCCAAGAGTGAAACAACGATGCCAAGGACTTGGTCACACAGTTTCCCAGACTCGATATCGGTCAGCGCTGCCTTCGTTCTGCGGTTCTTGGAGTCCTCCAGCATGAGCAACGCCGCTAAACATGTCAGTGGCGCGTGGATTGTCACCATCTCTTCTTCACGAACATTAAAGTTGGACACAATGAAGTTGACCAACGCAAGCTTGTCCATGCGATCACTTGCAGCAAAGCTTCCCGGTCCGATTGCCTGTGCCAATAAGCCAACAATCTCGCTGTAAATCAGACCGCTTTCGATACCATCGAAGAAAACGCTAGCGCTACGGAGAACTTCTTCGAAATCGGATTTGCTGGCGGCCAGGGACTGGAATTTTCGGACACTATCAACAACCGGCATGAAGATTTCAGGTACTACAAGGCCGCCAATCTCCCACCTATCCATGAGAGAGAGACAAATCCTGTACGGACGGGCTCGCTCAGCACTGCTGCCACGAGAAGCGCCCTGAATCATCTGGAGCAGCGCTCTCGTGAGGGGCTGCAGCCCATAGTCTTCAAAGTAGGTCGTTCTCGAGGACAGGTAGCCATGGCTTTGCTCATTATGCTCGCCCTCTTGAGCAGTCGGTTCGGGGCCTACTAGCCATGCCCAGAGGCGTCGATTCAGACTCATGTCTCGTCTGATCACTACACCAACTGCCGCTTTCACGAGCAGGTCCAGATCCGCTGGCTTTACCCGAACCTGCAGGACGTCCGAATTCAGAGGCAAATGCGACACGAGCAAGTCGAGAAAGCCGCGTTGGATCAACAGCTGCTCGTCGCCTAAGCCACTTGCAAAGCATCGTACTAGTAAGCCGGGCTCGGGTGACGTCACGATGGTGTGCAGGTTCCTCGTATTGTCGTCCTCGCCGGGCCCGGAGGATGCAGTCGGTCCAAGGTTGGGAAGGCAGCGCATAAGATAAGCCAAAGCTCCAGACCTGCGGCCATGGCTAGTTATGGCAGCTAGGAAGAAACACTGCCAGAAGAAATCGTCTCCGGAGGCGTGGTGCTCTCCCATCTTCCGACTTTCATGAGGCCGTATGGCCTCCTTGAACCGTGCCACCAGATGCAACGTTCTGCCAAAGTCCTCACTTGTTTCATCTTCTAGCCCAGGAAGCAAGGCAAGTATAATAGCTTTCATGGCTGGCCGGAGCGATCTGGCGTCGAGGTCAAGGAAGTGTGTCTCCAGGAGGTCCAGGTACGGCGATCGGACAGAGAGCGAAGCGAACGACAGTGTAGGCGCGAGGCCGGGAAGGTACAGAGGCAGGTCCCGAGACAGGCCTTCGGTGCCTATCGTGGTAAATATATAGCTGTAAAGCTCGAGGGCCTTTTGGTGTACGCCCGATGGCAGAGCGGGATTGAGACATTGCGAAAGACGTTTCGCAACGAGGGCCTTGGCCGGGACAGAGTGGAAGGATGGTGGTCGAGCTTGAAGCGACTAGCCACTAGCATGTTAGGAAATCAACACGCCATTCAAAGCTCCTGGAAGCCCTCAGACGGCTTGGCGCAAAGCATACCTTGAGCAGCTTGTTCAGGAAGGAAATGTAGTCTGCCCACTCTTCGAGGGCGGTTTCAAACAGTGAAAGCGTCTTCTCGACACCAGCAGCATATCTTCGGTAAGCCTTGTCCTTGCTCGGGACCTCCTCTGTTCCCACGCATTAGCATGAATGAATTTCTCAGCATTGCAAAGTGCTGCACAGCGGCGAACCTCCTCCAAGTTGGTTTCTCCATTGACGCGGTATGGGAGAATCCCGGCCAGAGCTCTCAGGCGAGCCCGCAATGGCGCCGGATCCCTGATCAAGGGCCATTGTCGTGAAGCAGTCGAATCATATGGTATCCTGAGGGCATCGCTTGTCAAAGGTGTGGTCCAAAGGATTCTGTGTTGTACGGAGCAGCATCACTGTGACGTGGGTTGAATCCGGATTCGACTGACATGAGGCTACGTTTCACGAGCCACTCGCAGGGGGGCCAACAGTTGGCACCCCTGTGATTGGTTGGCTGCTCACTGGGGCACACTCCCGTAGCAAGGCTACGACAAGCCGCCGTACATGGCAAGTCAAGGCGTCACGGCTCGAGTCTCGGCCTCATCTGCTTCAACTGCATCCCCATCCACATCCCACCCTCATCGTCATCGGCTTCCTCTCTGCTGTCTCTGCTGCTAGATCGAGTCGAAACATAATGTCCTGGCCTACTTGACAACATTCCAACATTTGTCAGTCCCCTATCTACCGTTGTATGCAAACGTGTCGACGTCACTCAAGCCACTCGTGACCTCCACTTTGAGATGCGACAACTACCATCTACGGCAGTATCATGGGCAGAGAGACTAGACCTCCCACCGAGGAGGACGAGAAGCCTCCCCCGTTGCCCCCTCGAAGAGCCGTAGCTACTACTGCAGAACCGAGAAGCTTGCAGGCTCAGCCTACCACGGCGTTGACGTCTGTGGACATCCAGACGCTCTCCTTTCCAGATGGATCTCGCGGCACATTCTCAACACCCGGGGCCAGATCAGTGTCCACCCCTGTGGCCAGTGGTTATGATTCCCCGGGACACAAAGCCAGAGTTTCTGGTGGGGAAGGCCTTGATGATGATGCAAGCATGATGAGTTTTGCCCCGACCCTGAGACCAGCTGGTGACATTGCAAGCTTAATGGTTTCCGAATTCCCTAAGCGCAGTCCAGCATGGAATTTGCTCCATGCCCAGTCTGCCACAGTTCAGCCATTCGAACGACATCGTTCCGGGGCTCAAGACGGGCTCGCCAGATTCGAAGCTGAACTGCAGCCTATTCCATCCCAAGACGACAAGGACGTCAAGGATGAAGAGCGATTATCAATGTGGAAGTCAAAGCGCAAGCATTACATGATTCTGTCCTCTGCCGGAAAACCCATTTGGAGCCGTCACGGAGATCTCGACCTCATCAACTCGTCCGTAGGAGTTATTCAGACAATTATATCGTTCTACGAAGGTGCCAAGGACTCTTTGCAAGGCTTCACCGCGGGCAGCACGAAATTTGTGGTTTTGACCCGGGGCCCTCTTCATCTTGTTGCTATAAGCCAGCTCGGCGAGAGCGATGCGCAGCTCGGGTCACAGCTCGAGGCCTTGTACATGCAGATTCTTTCCACGCTGACACTCCCCACGCTAAAGAACATATTTGTCAAACGACCATCGTCTGACTTGCGCAAGCCGCTCCAAGGCACAGAGTCCCTCTTATCCTCCCTGGCGGACTCATTCACCCTTGGCTCTGCATCGACTCTCCTAGGCTCGTTGGAGTGTTTGAGGCTGCGCAAATCTGAGCGACACGCCATCAACAACGCCTTTCTGAAGCTTCGATCCGACAAGCTGCTCTACGGGCTCATTGTCGCCGGTGGCAAACTCGTCAGCGTCATCCGGCCTCGACGGCATTCGCTCCACCCCAGCGACCTGCAGCTCATCTTCAACATGCTATTCGAATCAGACGGCATCAAGGGCGGCGGCGGCGAGAGCTGGATCCCAGTCTGCCTGCCTGCATTCAACAACAAGGGTTATCTGTACATGTACGTCAGCTTCTTCGAAGACATGGCAGACGAACAAGCACCCGACGGCCCAACAAATGTACGGACGTCCAGCGAAGAGATTGCCATGATCCTCATCAGCGCAGACAAGGAGAGTTTTTTCAGCCTCAAGCAAATGCGGGATGACGTTGCGCAGGCCTTGGCAAAGAGCGGCAGCCTGGCCATCATTCGCAAAGCGGAGCGCGCCGGCCGGCCTGACGTGTCGCACGTTGCTCCCGGATGCCAAATCAGCCACTTCTTGTACAAGTCGCGAGCAAACGTACAGTTTTGCATGTCGTCGCTACAACCGTCATTCGGCCATGTCGTCGAGAAACGAAGGTTGCTGTCGCTATATCACGAGCTGCATGCCTCGGTGCACGCTAAACACGCGCATCTGAAGGTTCTGCACTGCTCGAGCGACGAGGCGACCTGTCTAGCGTGGGTCACGCCCATCTTTGAGTTTTATTGCGTCGGGGGACCAAATTTGTCTCGCGCGGCGATGACTCAGGGAGCGAATAAGATCATTCAGTGGACCAAGAAAGAAGAGCAGAGGATATTCATCATCGGCGGAGGTGTATTCTAGCCACGAGTGTAGGTTATCCGCGCCTCATCCCCTTTTGGGACAGTGTTGTGTATCAATAAATAAATAGCTGGGTCGCCATAGTGCATAAGGTATATAAATTTATATACAGTGTAAAATTTCCGTCAAACGCCTCTTGGTAAACGAAACCTGTCGGTGTCTCCCATAGCTGTCCCCCCGGCCTTTTTTCCTTGTTCAAATTGCGAACTTCCCCGCTGGGGCCGCAAATTCTAAAGACATGAATAGTCGTGGGCATAACGCTCATGGTACGTCGTGAATATATTCGGGGCAACAGCATTGCTGCGGCATGGTCTGATTTTTTAGTGTTTTATCCCTTTTTTTTTTAATGTCCAATTTACTTGCAACGGATCATGACGACCGCGACGATTCCCCGTCGTCCGAGCGCCTCCGAGCCATGAACGACTTCCGAGCCCATTCTTTTATCCTGTCGTTGACGCCGGGACTCGCACTGGTCGCGCTTCGGCTAGAGTTTGTGGACGACCAGCTATCTTCGCGCGACTGCGGGGGGCGCGGAGAGTGAGCCGGCTTGGTGATGGACATGTCGCCGGGGTGCTGGGAGAGCGGCGACGTGTCGGTCTCGGTGGCGAGCGTCATTGTCGACGCGTTGAGGAGCGCCTCTGAGAATGGCGCATCAAAGTCTTCGCGGAAACGAGGGCTGCGCAGTTCGCTTCGGGGTCGCTTGGCGTCGGCATCGGGGTTGGCCGCCGGCATGGTTGTGGAGAGGCGTAGCTCGGGTTTGGATGTCATTTTGTCGTATTCAGATTCGGTGAGTTTTCGATTTTTCTTTGTGCAAGGGGAGGCAGATGGTGTCGCTGTGAAGAGAGGGAGTCGAGCTTGACAAGGGAGCGTGCAGGGTAATAATATACGGCCGGGACAACTTTTTCGCGAGAAAGAAATGCAAAAAGTTGCAAGAAGTCAATGTGAACACAGGAGGCGGGGAGGGGAGAGGAACTGAATGTTGGAATACAATGGTGGTGGTTCACAACAATCAGAGCCTGAGGGCCGGTGTCCAGACTCCAGGAACAGCGGGCAAACGGTGTCGGGAAACAGGGGGGAATAGTGGAAAGCCAAAACAAGAGCGGCCTGCAGAGACGCATCCAGATTCAAGACGAGGGTGACCAAGCATTGAGTTTCGCTGATGACGGGATGTCCAAAAGTGATTAGACGGGGCAAGCGTGACGGGGCGATGGGGGGGGATGAGATGGGGGCGCGCGATGGGGTGACAGGGTGACAAACCGGACCCTGTTGGTCCCCCCTTGGGGGGTTCGGCCATTTGCGAGCTGGCCATTGCGGGTTGCCCCTGAATTACTAAAAGTTCCTAGGAAGCCACCAGAACAAAGCGGGTAAGTGTAGAGCCAATAGGGGCTATTGTTGAGAGGAAAGCGGGGCACACAACAATCTGTCTCACTCGGTTCTGTGGCCAGGTTTGTTGGATCAGCCCCACGAGGCGCCAGAGTTCAGCTTGTGACGGGAGAGAATAATGAGGATTGGGTAATCAATCACAAGGTGAAAGAAGAAAGGAGGAAAAACAAGAATCATGATGCACAAACGGAACGAGATGTGCTTGCTGGGAGGTGCGCCCAGAAACCTCCCGACTCCCAGGGATTTGGCCATGTTAGGCTTCGCAGATAAACACTGAAAGGGGAGATCCAACGACAAGCACAGATTGCACACTAAAATTGTCTGTTCAAAATGGACTCGTCCGACTGGCCGGTCACGAGGGACGATCAGTCTTACGAACAGGGATGCATCGGAACAAGAAAAGACATGTTTCGCCAGTCGCGGTCCCATCCTGTGCTCCGTTCTTTACTTCTTTTGATTGGGATAGTAATAAGATGTCAGGTCTACGGAGTACAGACATGTGCGAGTTGGGTGTAATGAGACTCAGGGTTACCATGTATTTTCTTGCCGCCGCTTTGCGAAGTTGTTCTCTTTTGTCTCAAGCAATGGACAGGAGCACAAGGCCTGTCAATTTCCATCTTGTTTTGTTTGTTATGTTTGAGCGGAGCAGCACGTGAGCGCGTCGAAACATTTCAAATTCACCCACCCTCTTGGTAAGTCTGGTTCGGAGCTCGCTTCGCCCAAACGTTGCAGATTCCACATGACTTTCATCAGTCAGTCAGTCAGTCAGTAGTGGATTTCTGCATCTACTTCTCCGTGCAGAGGAGGACATGCACAGCCTACCCCGTAGACGCGATAACTCTCGAGCGCTCCCTCCAACATGCCTAGAAGGATCCGTTCAAAGAGCAGCGCAAACATTGCCAAGGCGCCGCCGCTCTTGGGGTTCCATGTCGCTTCTGCCTGCCGACTCATCTGGCCGGATGTGCTCGGTACGGAGTGCGTAACCACCGTGACTACTAGACACCCAGTACTCCGTACCTACCACGAGGTTTAGATGCGGGCCTCCTTCCTCCACTTTCTGCCGTGAGCTCCTTCCTTGATCAACCTCATGCCACCCACCACCTTCAGACTTCGCCCTCAATGCTCCTGCAAGTGAAGCGTATTCTTTGGCACAAACAAAGCTTAAAATTCACATCTCCTGAGTAACCATGTATTGGACGATTGATCGAGATTTCTGTCATCGCCTCGTCATGCTGTCGGTGCGGCAACCTCATCAGGGCGGGAAGGGCATCGCTGCCGTTGACACGCGCGGCCACCAGCAGCTCCAAGCCCACCATGCGTTGTTGCCGACTTGATATCACGCGAGGTCCATGATGTGTAGCGACTTCTCGCTTCAACGCTCGTTCGTCTTTGTCACAGCTGCTTGATTTGCCGAGCCCAGCGTTGGGCTGCCTCTACATGCAACCCGTGGCAACTCTGTCTTCATTTGTCTTTCATTCTCCCATTACCACTTTTTTGGACGACCATGTCTACCAACACCCAACTGTGACATGTTGCTGCAAGCCAGTATTTGGTCCTCGAAACTGTCAACCAATTCACGCCTTGTCGTGGCCCCAATCGTCTCCTTTTTGTTCCAACTTGTCTCATTACCGTTATTTATTTCAGTCTATCGTTATATCTTTGCCCAGCTCATGTATTAGCAGCCCGCGGCCTTTTGTGAAGTTACCATGGATGTTCTCAAGCCTCGTTTCAAGACCGCAAGTAACGGCTCACTTCATAGCACTTACACCTCCTACGGTTCCCATTTTCCTCCATCGACAGGCGTTCCAAGGGGACAATTTCCCCATCGGAGACGCGCGCTACGAAATGCCAGCCATAATTCGATATTGCCCCCGTCTCCAGGGCCGCTCACAAGCATGCTGAAGACAACCACCGAAACGGGAGATATTAGCATCTTCTCCATTCAACCGCCGGTGACTCCTGCAGCCTATCATCAGTATCCCAGGGCAAGGCCAGACATTCTTGATGGAGCACCTCCCGCAAAGTACACACCCAAGAAGGGTGAGAATTTCTACTACGCTGATGACCACAGACATTTTCGCTCTTACAGAGACACCGCTTCTGAGATCATTTCGCTCTATGGGTATGACAGTCAACCATTCTACATGACGCCAGGCTCTCCAATGTTCGATGACATCAGTCATCGATCTTATTCCATCACAACGAATAGCTCGCGTCAGCTTCCTTCCCAGAAATCTTCGGGGACTTTGCAGAGTCAATCCAGCCGGAGTGGGCTGCAACGACCACGTTCACCATTTCCATATCCAACACGGCTCAAGAGGCCAGGGGTGCGACCTGCGTCTCCTGCGGTAGCTGAAAATGGCTGTATTGATTACAACCGAATGATTGAGCTTGATCGTGTCTCGCAGGTACGAAATGAACAGCCTTGGCGAGAACCGTCGCGGGTTGCAAACTAATGATGCTTACAGAGAACTGTTCATGGGTCTTACAAGTCAACATGTAACAACTGGGTACGAAGGCCGCCTCCTCTGTCTCTCCGGTCCGACTTCAATCGGTCCACTGCATCGTTGCCCTCAAGAGCATCCCCCGGCCCATACTATCCAGGGCACATGCCTCACAGGTCGCGGACCCCGGGCTCATCGCAATCTGGAACAAGCAGACATGGACGATTTGAACGACATGCAAGAATGCCTGTTGACAGGTGTGGGAGATCTCCTAGTCTAACATCCATTGTTGACATGTACCGAAGACCTAGCACTGCCAAGGTTTCAAGACAGCCACCACAAATGGCCGGCTCGTTCTACTATGACTACAGCGAGGACTTTGACAGACCGGCCGAATTTCACCACGAAATCAGAGGACAGATTTCGATGGAACTCCTGGCTGTTCAACACGACGACGGTCAAAACTATGATGAGTTGGCGGTGGAATCAAAGCCTGACGGACCTGTTCCGCAAGATGCGGCCACCGACAACCCTATTCCCCATCCCTGCCCAGGTCTTGAATGCTGCGCAGAAAATGAAGGGCAGCTGGAGCCAGGCCAAAAAGTGGAAGAAGTGACAAGGTCTAGCGAAGCCGACGACACAGAGCTGAGCAATCTCATCGCTGCGCGAAGCCTATCTCAGTCTGCTCCCGCAGACCCTGAACCAGCAAAGAGCGCTAAAGGCCAGCTTCCGGGAGATGAGAATAACATGAGTGTCAATAGGGCAAGAGTTTCCAAATCAGATACATGCCAGTCGCCGAGGGCCGAGGGAGACTGGCCGAAGTCTGACTGCCATGCAAGTACAATAGGTGCTCAACAGGGATCGGACAAGGCACGGTCCTCCCTTGACCCAACATTGCCTGATTTTGCGTCTATATTCTCATCATTTGACTTGCTAGGCAGGTCTCCGTGCTTCAGGGCGGCAGACATTTCTGCTCGGAAACTTTCGGGTGACAGTGACGCTGACAGTGTTGCTTCGTCAAACCATGACCTGGACAACCTGAGACATCGTCGCAACGTAGCTGCTGTGAGAATCAGTACTACCGACCTCAATGATAAAACTAGACATGTCGGAGACGGGTCCGTGCATGAACAAGAGTTGGACATCCTATCTCCAGAGCCAATATCTCCTGCTCGTGAACTCAAGGTAAAAAACAGCATCCCGCAGCTCATGAAAGCTCTTCCGCCGTTGCCTCCAGGAGTGCCAAGCGGGAGAAGTCACAATAAGCACTCTTTCCGGAGATGGGACGACCAGCTGTTTGATCAACGTTCAGGTGACTGTCCTAGACCTCATGGCATCGTCCAAGAGAACGACGAAGTGCACTTAGCCGACATGATGCCATCTGGGTTGAAACAACAACCGCAGTCAGTCAAGAATAGCAGTCCTTCAAAGTTTAAAGTTCGAATCAAGCCGTCATGTTCACCAATTATTGGCAGTGGCGACGCCAATCGTGCCGATACCAAAGGAGATGTACATGAATGGCCACACCCATCAACTTCACAAGCAAAGCCGAGACTAAAACTCAAACTCTCACGAAGCCAGATTGGCCAAGGGCGGCCGACCACAGGAGAACCTTGCAACAGGGTCAATCGGTTGAAGCAATGCAATTCGTTGGCGGATTTGGCCTTGTACTCCAACGTGGGAACCAAGATTGGGCAGCGCTCTGCAAACGAAGAAAAGGCCAGAGTCAATACACAGTCTGAGGGCTGTGTCCATTCTATTTTCGAGGCTCAGCATGGTCAAAATAGCACAGGAGACAAGTCGCCTCAACCGTCTGATCCCTTCAGTATACCCTACCCGCCCTCACCAGAGGACAAGTTGAGCAAGAAACGGTCCCTATCGTCTTCAAACAAAGACACCCTCGTTCAGAGGCCAAGTTTCAGTTCGGACAGGAAGCCCGTTCAAGAGAATGGCTTGCGCAAAAAGATGTCCATGTTTCGAATGCGAATTGCAGAGTCACTGACGGCCAGACCTTACAGAAAATGCAAGAAGATTCGGGACTTGGAGCAGAGTGACAGTCACATTTCAATTAATATGACGCTGAAAGGTTCCGAGAAAAATCTCAAAAACATTGATAAGGACACACCCCGATCCAGCAGCAATAATAGGTCCGATTGGGTGACGGACCGTGTCAAGCGCTGGGCTATGGATGCCAGACGGGCTCTACGATCTTATGTTAGACGCACTTTGGATGGATCATCGCGATGGAGTGAATGATAGAAACGTTTGTTTACTGATGGAATGTCCGGTTTGGAGGTCTTGAATGAAGGAGCCTTGTGCTTGGGTCAGGTTTCCAGTATTATTCAGTTGTTGGAACAACACTTGTTGGCTTGTTGGGAACTAGGTATCGTCAGACGCATCTAGCTGGGCGTTGTATGACTTAGCTCGTCGTAGTCGATATTAAGACCCAAATTCTATTACTGCCCTACCCAGGCAGCTATTACATGAGAACCTATGGCCTAGGGCCTAGGAGACTGGTGAAATGCTGAAACCCGAGGGCCGATGCCACGTGCGGCGAGGGATGAGAGGTAGGTGGAGGCGGAGGCGGAGGCGGAACTCGAAGTCCGTCATCGCCAGTGGCCATTACGGTCGCACATTAGCTCGCATCCGCAAACGCTGCCACTACAATTTTCCGATTTTCTAATTTTTAGATTTTTTAAAAGTGCAGAGTTATATAGAAAAAATTCCTCCTACCTTAATATATAAATTAAACTTTATACTATAATTATTCTAGATTTATATTAAAACTAGTTCTATATTATTTCTAAATTATTTCTAAATTATTTCTAGATTATTTTAAAATTAATTTTAAATTAATTCTAAATTATTTCCTACTTTAATATACTAAGACTATATAGATAGCTTAAAAGTCTTAGAGAGACTATTTAATAATCTCTTTAGTATAGTGTATTTTATAGAGATATTTTATTTTAAGTTAATAAGCTTCTTAATAAATAGAATAAAAATGCTATTAGCCTTTAAATATTATAATACTAGCTTTTAGCTTAGAGGCTTTTAGGTATTTCTAGAGTATATATCAAAAGCTTAAAGCCTTTATATAAAGAGATTTTAGAACTATTTATATAAGAAATACTAATTAAATTAATTTACTACTTTATTAATAAGATTCTTTAGCAATATAATTAGCAACTAGTAAGCTTATATATACTAAAGATATAGCTTTCTTACTAGAAATTAATATAGTAGTAAAATATATAAATTATAAATTAACTTATTAAGTAGATTTAATTCTACTTCTTTTTCTATAAATATTCTAATTAATTAATTCTTTAGAATTTATAATAATATAATAACCTTTAATATTTATTATATACTATTTATAAGGTTTGCTAGTAGAATTATATAAAAAGGTATATTTAAATAAAGCAAGAGTAAATCTAAATTCTTTCTAAAGTAATTTAATTTCTTAAAAAGAACTTAAAGTAAATATTAGTAATCTATAAATTTAGTTATAAATATCTTTACTACTATATATAATAAAAAGCATAAGTACTAATTTTATAAAATTAGCTTTATAACTTTTATTAAACTATTTTTCTAGAGAAAGTTTAATACTAAAGAGAAGGCAATATATAGTATTATACTAACTTTTAAGTACTTATACTATATATAATAAAAAGTATAAGTATTAATTTTATAAAATTAGCTTTATAACTTTTATTAAACTATTTTTCTAGAGAAAGTTTAATACTAAAGAGAAAGTAATATATAGTATTATATTAACTTTTAAGTACTTAAGCTAAATTTTTTATAGTACTTAAATAAATATAAGAAACTTAAGAAATATAGCATTTAAATATATATATATATTAATATATACTTATACTATATTATTTAGTTTTACTATAGTTACTTTACTATAACTACACTAAGTATACTTAAGTAGTATTTATTTATAGTTTAATGCCTTAAAATATAGCTATTCTTTATAAGATTAAATTATAGTATTAAGACTTCTCTATAAGTAGCAGTATAAGTAATGCTAGTATCTACTAAAACTAGTTTAGTTTCCTATTATAATATAGATAGAAATTAGTTCTTACTTATATAAAAAGATTAAATTACTTTATACTATATATATAGTTCTAGCAAATAAAACATTAGAATTAAAAGCTAGTAGTATTACCTCTATATAAGTACTTCTAACTAATAAATATCTTTCTTCTATAAATTAGCTAAGTATACTTTATTTATTAAAGGCAATATTAAAGACTAAATTGCTCTTTATATAGTATATATACCTTTTATTTAAAATAAGTTTGCTAACTTTATTACTTTATAAAATAGCTATAAAATTTATATATAAAGAAATTATTAGTATATTAAATCTAGAATTTCTATAGACTTATATTATATATAAAATGCTCTAAACTAGAGCATTCTACTAAGTTCTAATAATAATATAGCTAATTAATAAGCTCTATATAATATACTTATACTACTTTATAGAATTAATATTAAATTATTTCTTACTAAAATTATAAATAAATAGTATATAAAACAGCTAGAAGAGCTAGGATATTTTAATTATAAACTTAATAATTACACTTAGCTTTATATATTAGTTTACTTTTTACTATAAGATTAAATTTAGAATTATTTTAGAACTAGTTTAGAACTAGTTCTAGAACTAAGTTTAATTCTATATAGAGAAGCTTAAATATATATATAGTAATATTAATCTACTAATTTATATATATACTAATTATTTATAGTACTAACTTCTTTAAAATAATTTTAAGCTGTATATAAAATTTAATCTTTAAGGCAATCTACTTCTATAAGACTTCTAAAGGCAAATATAAGACTTTTAGGACAAAGAAATTAATAGTAGCTAGCACTTTTGTCTCTTCTAAATAAGTTGCTGTCTCTCTAAGCTATAAGTACAACTTGCAGGACTTTTTATTAAAGAAGACTCTACTTGCTCTTTAGGCTGTATAGTATTATTAGCTATAAAGCTTATAGAAAGTAAATTATTAAAGCTTATTAAACTACTCTACTTAATTAAGTAAATTAATAAAGCTAATAACTTTATATTTAGAGAGAGTATTATAGTTAAGGGTAAATTAAATGTACTTAAAGTTAGTAATTATAGTAAATTAAATTAAGTCTTATTTATATCCTCTTGTTATAAATATAAAAGATAGAAATATATCTAAACTAATATATAGCTACAGTAAACTAAGTCTATAACAATAACCTTCGCAAGCAATTTTCCATCGTTATAACCCGACTACAGAGATTATATCGTTAAGATGCAACTACTCTTTTAGAAAAGAGCCCCACTTTTGCTAGTAGATAAAGCCTAATAAGGCTTAATAAGGCCTGATAAGGGATTTTAGGGGGAGTAAGGTAGTGTGTAATTATAAACTTACATATATTAATAAGCAATATTTACGAGAAAAATCGCTATAGGTAAGAAGTCACTTTTATATACATAACATATAGGAAAGGTACTTCACGCCTAGGCGTGTGTGCTAAATCGCTATAGCAGGGGATTGTTATAAACCTGCTTTACTATATCTTTAATATTCTATTTATATATATTATCCTTATAAAATAAGTTAAAGACTATATATAATATAGTGTATATCTAAGGCAGAAGTTAAAATAATCTAGCCTGCTTAGACTATATTTATTTAAGCTTAAAAGAGATATTATTATTAAATTATACTATAAAGCTTAGTTAAATATACCTATTTATCTATTGCTTTTTATATAAAAGTTAATTATTAATATCTAACTATAGAAGTAGCTAAAGTTTAATTAGGCCTAGTAGAACTAGTTAGTATAAATATAGAAGCTAGTCTTAAATTAGTTTGTAATTAATTTATATCTCTACCTAGCCTATTTGTTTTTTTAGAAATAAAAAAGCCCCCTTAAAAAGTACTAACTAATAGTAGTAGAATAAGCTAAATAAGTAGCTTAGCTAAATTATACTAAGAGTTTTTTTGTGTGCTTAAGCAAGTTGCTTATAATGCTTTATTAGCTCTAGCTTAAAAGTTCTTCCTAAAGTTACTTATATAATTTTATTTTGTTTATATAAATAGAATATAGTAAGAATATTATTAAGCTTTTATTTATCTTAATAAATTAGAACTAGACTAAGACTACTATAAATCTAGTTCTAAATTAATTTTAATTAGAACTACCAGTACTATAGTAAAGGTAAAATTAAGCATCTAGATATTAACTTTAAATCTTATTATATATATAATATAATGCCTTAAAGTAATATTTTTACTGCTAGTTATATAATATTTTGCAGTAAATAACTAGAAGAAAAAGATAGAATAAAGAGTAAATTAAAAAGAGAAAAGAGGGAAT